TACCTCCCTTCTGGAGAGCCAAGATCGTCCTCTTCAGATAGAGTTTCAACTGTGTGTTGGTTTAGAGAGTTATTAGACCCAAGATAAGCTTTCCCTTGTCCTGCTGCTCTTCTGTTGTAAATGGCAGATAGTATTTTATTGTTTTATTGTTTTCTAGAGATTGCTTATTTGCACCGACTGTGGACTTGACTTGACTTTTGCACTTGACCTTGTTGAATGAAATCTTACTCTGGCCATCATGCCATACTGTCTCTTGATGTCCATTAGTGTATGTGTGTTTATGTATATTATGTATATATATTGGCTGCAAATCAGTTTCCCTGTAAAGGACAATAAAGATACTTTGAACTTTGAACTTTATCCTTTCAACTGTCACGTGCATTCCTCCACACTGTATCAAATACAAATACCATGCTGTAATCAACAAAAAAGAAGACAAACAAAAGAAAACAAAAACAAGAGGACTTTTCTTTTCGAAACAGCACAATTCAACTTTCAGTGAAAAAGATGTGATCAGTGGTGGAGTAACTTTTTTTAAATACTGCCTGGGTTTCCTGGATGATATTAATTTAAAAAAAAAATCTAAGCTGACCTTGTATCAAGAATATTTTGTCAGTTAAACTAAACTTGTGGAGAGATATTAAACTAAGTTCAAAATACGCACATGCAGAAAAATTACAGCTGTAAGATACACTGAACTCAGTTGGAGAGTGAGCATATGACATTAAGGTTTCAAGAGAAAGTCAATGAATGAGTGAATTTGTCAAGCCTCATAGCCACAATAATTCCCCTGACGTACAGACAGCCTCATTTCATTGTAAGAAAATTCACATGGTGAAACTGAGATGGTTGTTAAGAGAGTAAGATAACATCAGCAATTTAAAAAAGAAAAAGAAAAGAAACACTGTGCATCTAACTTTACACAGACACACATAATACAGAAATAAGCTCACCTTTATTTTATGTTTCCTTTGCTTTGCCTGATAGATCCATCTGGCTGGTTATGAACAAGGTGTGACAACAAAAGGAAAACTGAAAGTAACATAGCACTAGCACCTGATTTACCTTGAAGCTTGTGGCTTACAGGTAGTTAGACTTCCTGATTACCTTACATCAATGATTAATCATACAGTCACAAATCTGTAATACTTTATGATTATTACATGAAGGTATAATAACTGTCACAAATAACTATCAAATATTGTAATCAGGTACAGTTTCTTTTTCTTACTACACTGTGTTTATGATAGCTGCAGATAGTAGTTACTTTGTAGAGTAAGAGTTTCAAAATATAGGATGAGCTACAAAAATTGTAATCCTCCGTTTATAGTAATATTTAGAGGAACCACTATAATAAAAAGTGAAAAAATCTTCATTGATCTTCACACTGAATTATTGTATTTATTTATTTATTGTAAAATTGTATGTTGCTGTGAAATATGCAGTGGATATTTCGTAGTGGTTAATGCCTACCTGCTTAACAAATAGAAAAATATTAGGCACTCTTTCTACATAAAGCAAAATTATCCAAATATTTACCAAATTACAACACCTTTTTAATTGAATTTAATATACATAAAAACACTTAAACATACAACCAACAAAAAAGCAAATGCAGTCTCTCTGTAGCCCCTGATTAAAATAATTGACTGGTGATGAATTGCTGTATTTAATTTATATATTTTTATTATTATTTATTACATCTACTTTTTGTGTTTCACATTATTTGATTGGTTTTTCTATTTGATTGATATATATGTTTCTCTGTTTGTATGCATGTATGCATGTGTGTGTGTGTGTGTGTGTGTGTGTGTGTGTGTGTGTGTGTGTGTGTGTGTGTGAGTGTGTGTGTATATATGTGTATATACGTATACAAACACATACATATGTATATACACTTGTTGTCACATATGTATATATGTATGTGTTTGTATATATTAAAAAAAAACAAGAGCTGTCAACCTCTCAGGCGGTTATTTCCAGCCTTTCCTGCATGGTAGACGCTTTGGAGAGAATACGTACATTAGCGGAGCTCGTGAACGCACCGTTGTAGTCTAATTGAACTACAACTCCCTTGTTTCACTGCTCTGTGGCCGTCAAGTCGGGTAGTGTGTGCTGGATTTGGTTTTAAACGACAGGGGCGAGCGGGAGTGTGTAACTGGACTGGATTCAAGCAGCGTTGTGGTAATAGTGATATTAACTTCTATCGGAAGTAGACTGAGTACTGCGTTGCAGTTTCTCTAAAGAGGGATTTAAACGGAGGACCGGAGAGGTCAGGCTAACTGCCGTGTAGGTAGACAACGGTTGACAGTTGACCGACCGGAGAGGCCGAGTAAAGCCATGCTCTGTCTCACGTTACCCGTGCTAGCTAGCTAACCTAAGTTGTCATACTTGTATTCCTATATCCACCGGACTAAGGATGTTGCGTTTTGTATCTAGGAACCACGTCGTATGTTACCGAGCCGACAGCTGACAACAACGACCGTAGCAGCTCCGCGGGCTTCAAACCGTTATGGTGCTTGTGGGTGTGTTAGCATAACGTTAGAGGCACTCGGCTAATGCTAGCTGCCGGCTGCTGACGAGGGAAAACCCACCACCAGAGGTGAACAAAGTACACAACATCAGTACCTGAGTTAAAGTACAGACCGTCCTGGTCTAATATGACTCCAATATACAAGTGAAAGTGGTTCAGTTAAGTTTTCACTTGAGTTTAAGTACTGGAGTACTTGATTCATAAGATACTGAAATATTCTAAAGTATATTTTCTTTATGTCAACACATTACTGTATTGTTCCACATTTATAAAACCGAATGACTCTGAAACAACCTACTGACTGACTATAGATAGATAGATGGATACTTTATTTATACCTTAGGGAAATTCATGTATCCAGTAGCTCATTTGTAAAAAAAAAAAATAATAATAATAATAATGATGATGGTTGTTAATAAATAATAAAGAACCTGTAGAATAAAAAGCTTGTAGAATATCATACAAAGGCCATAGAAACTGCCGTAAAAGCGAAAATAAATCAGCAAAAGGACCCATTGTCATATTTCTGTTTTTAGGCATTGCTGAAGTTTGGTCGTGGTGAATTTTCTACCTCATCTTTATCAAACGTAGCCATTGTTAGGACTGACAAACAACTCAAAATAATGAGTACTTCATAGAAATGTAGTGGAGTACATAAGTACAATATTTGTCTCTAAAGTGTAGTGGAGTAAAAGTCGGAAGTTTCTGAAAGTAAGAAAAAATACTCAAGTACAGACATTCAAAAAAATATACTTAAGTACAGTATTCATGTAAATGTACTTTGTTACTGTCCACTTCTCCCCACCACTAAACATCTTTGACTGTAGGTAGTGAAGTCCGTTTGTATGAAAGATACATCAAAAAATACTGCTGCCTGCATTTGATGTCATCTATGATTGAAAACATATACGCTCTGGGAAACTGTGATAGAAAAATGATCACACACCCAGAGAACAGAAGTGTGACACCTATGTGCAGACAACGTGGCAGAAAGCTTAAGAGCCATGTGTGATTTTCTTATCAGGTTGAGACAAAGTCAAATAAACATAAGGTGATGTTCAAGTCTTATCAAATAGAAACAGTTAGGAACATGATTTTACTATGAACCATGGATCAGATACAAAAGGTGGGGTCTTCTACAAACAGATGTCAGGTCTCAAAGGTGGAAATTAAAACTTTGTCATTTAAGAAACAAAAAAAGAAACATTGTCTTTCAATAGATATGATGTAGTTATTTTTATTATGCTCATTAACAACATGAAAGGTTAAAGTCAACAAGTGTTTTTGTGTCGTCACTGAATGATCAGTTTCATAAATGATCAAAGAAATATTTTCCTCACATTGACAACAAAACAACAAAACTCTTGCTGCTGTAGATATAATGACAGATTACTTTAAATGAAATTAACATAACACAACTGAACACTTCAAATACGTCTTCAACATAAAGCATCCTGGATCAGTTAACATGATTCAACTTAAAATGTAGACTTACAAAAATACAAACAGGCCAAACTTGTTAAACAGGATTTTCAGATATAAGTTTTAGAAATGAATTACACAGGTTAAAGAAATATACCCTCCATTCTTTGTTGTAAGAAGTCGATCATCTGACAACATGTCTCTCATCAACCTTCTCAATCATCTTTCCATGATCACTGAACTTCAGAAGTTCAGATTTAATAAAACTTCAAAATATTCATCAATACATGCAGCATATTGATCATTTCTCTGTCTCTTCAAAAACAAACAAATAAAAAAACATTGTGTTCTGCTTTATGTTCATTTGAACATTTTTCATATAAAGAAGTTCACACTTACTAACTTTGTAGATATTAACATTAGTTTTTATGCCTCACTCATTCTCCAAATTCCTATTATTCTTCTGTGTTTTATAGGAGTTTGATTCATGAATAGTCACATGAAAACAAGTATCATCATTTTCAGCTGAGTAGTGTTGGTTCACTCATTTGGACTCATTTTAGATTTCACCCAGACTTTTAATCGCTTCTTCTTTACTGTATTTTCTCCACTCGCTGGGAATTTCTCCTCTGCCCTGGAATTTAAATTTATAGTGTTCTTCCAGTTGTTTTTGAAATCGACACACAAACCATTTCCAGTATGTCAGATTAGACTCATCAGGGGTAATTCTCCAGTTAGCAAACATTAGTCCGGTTGTTTATAGGGAATACTTTCATCTGAATCTGAATCTGAGTAAAAACTTTGATCACTTGCAACTTTTGTTGTGCAGTATTCAACAGAGAGTATATCTGTGTCTTTATTGGACATATCATTGACTGCAGTGGATCAATGAAAAATTACACTGTGGTCATTAGGACTGTGATCTGGTGTTGGTGAAAACAGCTGCACAGAGTGGACACTCTACCCAGCAGCACTTGCACAGCTGATTGATGAGGATTTGATCAGGCTTCAGTCTGAATTTTATCATCTTATCCAATGGGAGGCTGCTGGTTCAATTGTTTTCTCTATCACGCAGTTTTTTTCTTGAGTTCTCCGAGTACAACAGCAGAAGAGTTTCCTTCACAGAAGCTTCTGAAAATGTTGTAATATGGATCCCTCTTGCTTTCTAGATGAGTACGTACATCATTCTTCTTGTTGAATTTCTCGTGGGACTCTGAAAGCCAAGTCCCTGCTCTGTCAAACACATACAGTAAGAGATCAACTGTAAACTTCTTCTTCAGAGCATATTTCCTCTCTGATTCAAATTCTTTCACTTTCTCTTTGACATTTTTGGCAACTTCTTGCAAATAAGTTGGACTGTAGCCTCTTGTAGCTACAGGTTTGTTCTTGATTGTATCAAGTGACTGTTTTTCAAGATTGTTAATCAGGGATCTGATCAGTTGTTGATCTTCTTGCTGAAAAATCCCCTTAATGTAACTTATTACCTTTATAGTTGTTTCTGAAACAAAGTCACCGAATTGTCTAAGTTTCTCCTTTTCTCTTTTGAACTTTTCCCTCTCTTGAGACTGTTGGCTTTTGTCACTACGCTCCTGATACTTGGTTAGTGTCACATAATGAAAGTAATCACGAACCCCTGATATGTTTTTGTATCTGCCACTGTTTTTGGAATCATTAATAAGATCCCATTCAAAACCAAGCTCTTGAAGGATAGTTGACTGATCTTTCTCCAAGTTGATGTCTTCAATAGGTTTTGTATCTGCAGTTAGTTCTCTCACCCAGTCGCTCCAAACAGAGTCAAACTGGTGTTTAAGTTTCTTTTCATCTTGTGTCTTGTGTTTTAACTGATGAGCGAGCTCTTTGCTCTTCTGTAGCAGCTTGTTCTCAAACTCTGTCTTCTGATCATCAAGCTTTTTACAAGCCTTCTTCTGCTGGATAACTTCATCCAGTTTTCTTTTCACTCCTCTCACCTGTTCTTCATGAAACTCCTTGATTTTGTTTTCAAATGTGCCTCGCCACTGAACCAAGATTTCTTTGTCTCTGTCATCATCAAAGTGCTTTGACATTTCTTTTTGGATTTCTCCATATGTTTTGCTCATTTCTTTAGAAAGATAACTGAGCTCAACCTTGTCAAGATCTCCATTTTCAATTCTGTTGTACAGCTGGTTTTCAATGGTCAACATGTTGCTCCTCAGAGCCCAGGTCCAGTTCCCGTACTGAACCTCAAGGTTTCTGTACACTGCAATTTCAAGTGTGTTTTTGAAACTGAAAACAAAGTTTTCGTTCAACAGGTCATCCCACAGGTCGTGAATTTTGCTTTTGAACTGTGACAGAGTAATCCCATCAGACTGTGAAGCTTTAGAGAGGATGAAGTTCTTCAGCTCTTGGATGCTCTCACTATAACCTGGATTTGGAGGAGCCATAGGTGGACTTCCCTCCCAAAGCTGGGCAAAGTATTTCACATCTTTTTGCACATCAAATGCAATGATGTCACTGAAACACTCTGCATCACAAACCTCCTCTTTGGCAGCTAGTTGGGTCATCTGGTCCAGTTTTTCTTGCAGGCGTCTCTTTCCCTCCATGTTTTTCTCTGCAGCTGAAATATCTGTCACATTCTGGTGAACAAACACACAACTTGGAGAAAGTTTGACTTTCTTCATCCTCATGAAAGCCTGAACAACAATCTGCAGAACATCTTGCATCTCAGCTGGATTCTCTCCAAAGATGTTGATCAATGTCATGTTTCCCAGACCAACAACAAATGTTGCCAGTTCATTGTCGTGGTTAAGAGCGGCGTTACCTGCTAATTCAAGAGCACGCAGTCCTTCAGTGTCCACCACCAGCACATAGTCAAACTTAAAGTCTCTCTTCATCTCCTCTGACACTTTGATCAGCTGCATGAAGGCACCCTTGGTGCATCTGCCAGCACTCACTGCAAACTGCAACCCAAACATGGCATTCAGCATTGTTGATTTTCCACTGCTTTGTAAGCCCAAAACTGACAACACAAACACTCTCTGGTCACCCAGTCTCTTGATGACTTCCTCTAAAAGACTAGAGATCCATGTCAAAGGCACATGACCTGCATCACCATCCATCAGCTCCATGGGATGTCCTGATATTATCAGCTCTGCAGCCAGCTCAGGGTATTTAGACCAGTCAGTCTGACCCCTCTTTGTTTGTCTCTGTAGAGATTTATGGGCTTCATAGATCTGCCCCATTTCTCTAAAGATGTGCTCCAAGCCAAAAGTTGCTGATTGTAGTTTTGTTGATATTTGTTCAAGCTCAGTTTGTTTTCTTTTTAACAGATCAGATTTGTCACGTTTCTTCTTCAGAGCCAAGACCTCAGACCACTTCTCATCATAGCTTTGGAGAATTGACGTGAGATCGTCTGTGGAGAGGGCGTCTATTAAGATCTGAGTCCATTTCAGGAAATACTCTTTGTCTGTTGATGGCAAAGATGAGAGACTTTCAATGAACAACTTCACCAGTTCACTACAGGAAGCATCATGTTGTTTTTCTCGTATTTTCATCAGTTCCTGTTGCTTTTCACTTTTGTCCTTCTCAACGTTTCCTTTGAGGTGATACAGTTCTTTCTTTATTCTGCACCACTCATGCCACAGTCGGCCATGACAAGGGAGGAACTTATCTTTGATTTCTGAAATTTCCATCCCCTGAAGTAAATTCACTGTTTCCATAGCAGCAGATTTTCCTTTTTGGCAGACTGTGTCTTCTTCATCCACTCTGATCCCAGAGACCTCGGCCATGGTTTCAAGCTGGAAAGATGTTTGTGATCCAGACAAGATCTCTCTAATGATCCTTTTCAGTTCTTCAGAAACATCTGACTGGCTTCTGTCTTTTAGACCCATTTTATATTTTCCCTTTTTCATCTGAACTGCAACACGATCATTATCAGTAATGAGACAAATCAGAGGCTTTGGAGACTTCACAAGATCTGAGATAACTTCATTACTTTTGTCACCTTTTTTCAGAGTTGGTAACAGAACAACATTGACTGAAGATTTTTCAGTCAGTATCTTAAGCTGTTTTTCAATCGACAGAGCATCACCATGAAGATTACAGAAGGCAGTGCAGTCAGTGAAGGCATCGTTGGGTTTTCCAGCAGGACAGTACCAGGCAATCTCTGCCACACCATCCATCAAAAGGCGAGATCTGGTGCTACCTGGGCAGTTTCTGTGGAAGAAGGTGTTGTGACGCTCGTTGATCAAAGTGTTCATCAGCTGAGATTTAGACACTGACAGTGAACCCAGGCGGAAAAATGACACCATGGGTGTCTCAGCTTTGCAGATGGGTGAACTCTTCATGGTGACAATGTTTGAATCACCCTTGATTTGAGTTGTCTTCCAGGTTTTTCTTATTTGTCTGAATGTCCACAGAGGACACTCAACATCCAGTGTGACTGGGTCAGGAACAAGCAAAGGTAAGGCGTACTGACACTGTGACAGCTTTGTCATCATGTTCTGCTTAAGGAAGCTGTCTGAGCAGTGAAATACTGCCATTTGAACGTCCATTGGATGAACATGAGTCTGATCTGATTGATCACAGTCAACGTTGGTGCTAAAAAAACCTAAAACACTTTCTTTTATGTTTGAAGAATCAAGCTCTGCAACAGGATTTGAGTGGCTCACCTCAGCACTGTCTTGTCTTACAGGAATATATCTGGCTCTGTAGTCTAACATCATCAACCTCTGAAGAAAAGTATGAGCTAGATCTTCCTCAGATGTTTCATGGTCCTGTTTCACTGGTGGACCTATTTTAAGAAAATCTGCTGGAGACAACTTCTGTTTGTCTTGAAGGTGAAGTCTGTGAAGCAACGTTTCAAGATCTCTTTGATACTCCATGTTTCTATTCTTCTCTTCAGAAATCTTCACTGATTGCTGTAAATAATAAATAACCATTTACTGTATGTAAATTAAATGGTAACATCACATGGTTATAAAGTAAAACGTCCTCAAGTTCTTGTGTCTGTGAATGTTCTCATTCGTCCAGGTCATAGTTATCTCTCTCTCAAATTAAATCGAAGGCAACTGGACTAGTCTGACTAGTCAGACTAATGCGGACTAGAGAGACCAATACATGATGAACTGATGAAGCCGCTTGGATAAGAGGCGAAACGTCTTCCACAGACAAATACAAGTCCAGTTGCCTTCGATTTAATTTGAGAGAGAGTCAAGTTCTTGTGAAATAAATTTGTATTTTCTGACCTTATCCTTGTTTCCACTCATATCCACATCTGAGGTGCCTGCAAGACAACAATGAGCCAGAGTTGAATCAAAACATTTTTCTCATGTTCACTGTAAATTATACTGAGTGTTAGTTAGTTATTAGTCCTAAATTTAACTTTTTTATGTTATTGAAAAATAAAATGATTCATAAACAAATTATTTTCTCACATGTTGCAGATGGAACAGACTTGATTTCAGACTCTCCTCCTCTCGCTGTTTTGTCATTCTTCTTCTTTGAGTGTTTTCCATCATTAACTGAGTCACACTGAGAAAACAGGCGATTTAATTTAATCTTACAATAAACAGGTTACAACCATTGAGATTAAGAACACAGTGGTACACTATCTAGAGTAATACAAAACCAAAAATAAAAGTAAACTAAAGTAAAGAAAGTAAACTGTTCAGTAAAAGTATCTTCAGCGTCACTGTCCTATACTTTCCAAGTCTAAAGTAAAGTTAGTTGAGGTTACAGGTGTTTGTGCTCAATTTTAACCTGACCTAATAAAAATAAGTATTGAAAAAAAAAAATGTTGCTGTATGACTGACTACAGAGGATCAGAAGATCTCACCTTTACCTGTGTCGTAGCTGCTCTCTCCTCCAGCTGATCTACTACAGGGTAATGTAACAACAAGCAGATTACAGGATCAAACGTAAGAGAAATCATTTCTGGTCAGTTAACAATTCCAAGTAAAATAAGATCTATTTGCAAAAATTATGTTAATGTCAAAAAACATGTACAGTATATTTACAATGTTCAGTACTCAACAATATGGTTTGAATTCGGATTTTGCAGATATGCAAAACAAAAATCATGGAAACGTTCTTTGGTAACTGGAAACAGTTTCACTAATTAGTTGGTTTATGTATTTCATAACACCGTAAACTGTAGGATATCTCTGAGCAGAACGCAAGAGCAAGAGAGAGTTTAGCTAATCAGCAGAATCTTCATCTCAACATCTTGGCTGCTGCATCATCATCTTCTCACTCACTCTGGACACTGCCGCGCTGAATCAGCTGTTCCACAGACATACAAGTAGCATAGCTTCTTCTCTGCCGACTGTGTGAATTCAGAAATTACAATCGGCTTCTCCATCTAATTTCACCACCGCTTTTACTGGCTGCTTTTAGAAAAGGCCACATTATTTTGGTTTATTCACCTGCTGCGTATTTCCCCTGTCAAACTCAGGTATTACAAACTGTCTTACATTCATCTGTTCCTTCTCTGTAGCATCATTGGATGTGTAGTTGTACCAGTGGTTGTTAGTAGTGCGTAGTAATAATTATTATAATTCTTATTAAGTATAAAGTGCCTTTGATTTCTGTAACTTACTTTCAGTCACTTTACCTAATTGATTCCTTTGTTACTTGTTCTAATAAAGTTTACGTTAATGCCTTTGCAAACTTAATTTGTGTGTTATAGACGCTCTGGACTCTTCACCAAGAGGAATGGTTTATTCGTGTTGTTATGCTGACTCTGAAATTATATCCCAGGACAAATGTTTAAAACCATTTTGATAATTCTTATTGCTCACAACTCACAATAAACAAAATGCTGTCATTACTATTGAACAAGTGCGCATGGATGTTATATAATACATGTATTATAATAATACACTTTGTTGTGTTGAGTATTTGCAGCGCATGTGTTTTCAAATTGATGTTTTCTGAATTTGCTTGTGTTTCGTCTGTTTGCATGTGTTTTCTTAAGTTGCAGTGGACAAGAGAGTTGTGGACGACAAAGCATTTGCTTTGGTCTGAGATGCTGGTGGTCTAATGTGACATCTAGTGGCAGTAATGATTGTTTACCGAACCTTTGAGGTGGAAGAAAAACTCCCACCATCTTGGGAGGGGTTTTAAATGACTCTGTGGCCAGAGGAGAACCACCACATCATCCCATGCAGTTACAAAACGTTCTGGATTCAGCTTCATCTGCCCCCTTTCCTTACCTCTCACAGGTCTTTCATAGAGGCTTTCATTAATTGTTCATTTCCTTTTAGATATAGATGTTGCAGAATGTCTTAAGTCACCACAACAGTAGAAAATGGTGTGTAAGCATGTGAAAGTTGGACAGTAAATACACAGTTTTGATGGTGGTTGAGAGAACGGTGTCATGATGCACTGTTTATGTTGACTGTCTCCAGTCATACTCCACCAGTCCACCACAGGAATTCAGACTTTCTCCCTGTTCCTCATTGTTTTCTCTTACCTTTTGTAGCAGGTGTGATTACGGTATTGACCCAAGGTTCACTTGTTGCTGCTCTGCTGTCTTCCCCATCAGGTTCATCCACTAAACAAAACTAAAAAAACATTTGTTTCAATTTAAAATTTTTTTTTTTTTTTTTACTTTAATCAGATTAGACCATTGTAAGAACCTTTTTTCCAAAGTGAGAGGTCACCAACTAAGCAGCAGATAGATAAACATACATGCTAAAACAGTTATAGAAGATCAAATTCCAGCCAGGACCACATGAAAGAATCGAGAAATTAAACTCCTCTGTATAAGCACTGCAAACTGTTCTTATATCACACCAGCTGGCGTATGAATACAAAAAGTAGTGACAGATAATTTGTAGACTGCATATTCTGTCAAATCAGAATGTGCAGTTTAACACAACCCTAATCTTGCACACAGTTTAAGAGACATATTGACCTCACAGTCGGAACTGTACTGTTCAATTTTCATTTCATAGCATACCTTATAACACCACCTGACATTACATATCTTTATTTATCTCAGTGGCAGAGAGACAGGCCTTTATTTGAGACAGTAATACCGGAAAAAGTAATTGAAACCTTAGGAATTAACCTCATTTCTGTAAAAATTTGTCTCCAAATATGATCAGATCTTCATGTAAGTTACAATAATGAACAAACACAATCGATTTGAACAAAAGCTAATTGGAGTCGGGAGTTATCACACCTGTCAGTCAGTGAAACCAGTTTGGAGGTGTGGCTAGTTTGACATTTTGAGTTTGCACAGGAAACATCTGCTGATGTGAACCATGCCACACAAAAAAAAGAGATCTGAGAAGACTTATGGTCAAGACTTGTTGATTTGCATAAAGCTGAAAGGGTGACAAAACGATTTCAAAGAATGATAAGCTACCATCAACAAAACTCAACACTTTCCCCAGTCACTTTTCCCTTTGTATGAAGAACTTAATGTGAAAAATATCGGGCAGTGTTATGTTTTGGTGATGGTACTTTATCAGATTGACCAGGAGTACAGAGGAGGAGTAGGAGGAAACAACTGAAATTAATGAAAATATTTCTGTAAGAGAAAATCAGATCAAATATTGGTGCTTTGCAAGAGAAATAACTAAAGGTCATCTGAAAGTCAGCTGAACACATTAAGCCCTAAGGCAATCAACTCTCAAACATACAAGAAAAATTTCGACATCAGGCAGACACAAAAGTCCTCCAATCCATACGAACATATCGTTTGTTCCCACCCTCAAATACGACCCAGAGGAGTGTATACGCCTATATGGCGGCTTGCGTACCGGACTTCGGTTGTCATGGTTACCATAATAAACATGCGACTGTACCGAGAGCGGCGTACCGAACGTTGCCGTGCTTACTTTAATAGCGGTAATGGCTTGGCTAGGTTAAGGCATTAAAACTACTTGGTTAGGGTTAGGAAAATATTGTGATTTGGGTTAAAATTAGTACTTCCTCAACATCAGACGATCTTTGTTGTCATGGTTACAATAATAACAACAAACGGTCATAGATAATAGAAATATATAAACTACTTGTTCCACATGGGAATCGAACACATTCTACAGTGTTACAGGACTGTGTTTTGTTGACCCATCTATCCACCCCAGTCTATTCCTAACGCGGACTTTGGCGCTCTTTATACTACATCACCGTACTTTTCCCTTTGCTCCTGTCATAATTACTACGACCACTAGATGTCGCCTAGCAACAAAACATTACTCTGGGTTATCTCTCTCTCAAATTAAATCGAAGGCAACTGGACTTGTATTTGTCTGTGGAAGACGTTTCGCCTCTTATCCAAGCGGCTTCATCAGTTCATCATGTATTGGTCTCTCTAGTCCACATTAGTCTGACGAGTCAGACTAGTCTGACGAGTCAGACTAGTACAGTTGCCTTCGATTTAATTTGAGAGAGAGATAACTATGACCTGGACGAATGAGAACATTCACAGACAGATTACTCTGGGTTATAATAAGCTTCTTCACAATCGACCTACCTGCTCATTCCTCACAGGACAGTCTTCCTCCTATGAAAATGGAATAAATAAAAATACAACACCTGGGAGTTTAGTTGCTATTTTACCATTTTGTTGGTACAGTTGTTAGAGGATATGGACTGATGATGAATAGTGTTAAGTCAGTACTTACAGTTCCTTGGAAACATGGAAGGCAGTTAGTGAAACACTTCTTCATACCATTGTTCCTGCGTCTAGGTTGGCGTTTGAGCGTTTCAACACACCCTGGTGCATTTGAGCGTTTCAACACATCCTGGTGCATGGAACACAGACTTAATAATAGTGGACAAATACTTTATACACAAAATAAATCTGCAATACATTTTGTCTGGCAAAAATCCCATCTTGAAATGTTATGAGATATTAAGATATTACTAATTACTAGACAAATTCAAATGTAGATATCTGAAACTGAGTTTATGACTAGTCAGAACCTGTTTGAGTTGGTAGTCAGTTTTGCAGTGACTACCAACCATCATGAAGGTGTGGGTCTGGTTTAACCTGCATGCTACTTAATTATTTTAACTCTGAAAATTTAGATGGGCTAGAATTGTCATGTAATGCAGCTGTCACATAAGTCTGCTGTATATAAATCAACTGCCCAGACTTACTGCAATGTCCCTCTCAAATTAAAGAATTCAAAACAAGAATCAATGGTAAAAATACACAGAGAGGAAACGCAGAAATACTATAGTTTTCATTATTGATTTGTCAGATATTTAGCCTGTCAGGGCTCAACACCAGATGTCATTTTAAGAACATTTTTCACTTCATGATACTTTAAGAATTAAATCATTTAATTAAAAATGTTCATATTGTTGACTAAAACTATCATAGATTGTTAATTCACTCACAGGTTACATCAAGATGATATTTTTAAGATGTTTTCCAGTCTGTTAAGCCTATTTATTGACTTAGGATCTTAGACCTCTAAAGAATAGAGTTAGAGATCAGATATTTTCTAAACTCTCCTCATCATGTGACAAATGTAGTTTGCAAGACGTTAATTTACCTCACAGTTTTTGACTTTGTCCTGAATTAGTAAACTACTGGTCTTGAATCTTCACTTCAAACATTGAAGTGTTAAACATTTGAAATGTAGTGACTTGTTCGAATTAAATTGTAATAAAATATTACAGTGAAACGGCCAGTACCCCCAGGGGTGATATATTGGTGCTATCCAGTGGGGAACTGGTCCAGTGTCTTGAAAAGGGCTATTTGTTAGTTTTCTCTGCTGATGTACATGTTTTCTTTCTTGTCTGTATGATACAAGACATTATAATACAGCCTCCGAGGAGCGCTACTTCTCCGGGGAAGATTGGAGGCTACAGTGAGTCACTGTCAGAAAGTGACAACTCAGGCCGGGGCTAGCTGATTAGCTTGCTAACTTCAGTAGAAGAAAATATGTGATAGAATTAACAATGACATTGCTTTCCACTGCTGGAGACAGCTGTTGGTGAGTAAAGGAATGAAGTTACAAATACAAAACTTACAAGTAGCTCCTTTAAACCTATGATAATTAGAGTCTTATTAGTTAAGATCGTCTCCGTCTATATCTACAGCTCTCAACTGTTAATATAAAATTAAACAAAATAGTAGAAAAAAAATTTCAAGACGTATAACTTCATTCTGAAAATATTACATCTTCTATCATTGATTTTATTCTTAAATAAAATGACTTTCATTTCAAGTTACATTATTCTCAAAATATCTGTCTTTTAACTCACTAGTGTCCCTGACACTCCCTCATAAATGTGATAATTTTGGTGATACATCTCTCTGGTTCTGACTAATCATGTAAGCAATATCACATGAAAGGGAGTGATGTACTGAATATCAGCACGGCTGTGATTTGGTCATAGATAAGAAAGTCACAGCCGTGCTGATATTCAATATTAAATTCTACGAGCACCATATTAGTTAAATAAACAACTGTTTATGATCTGTTTGTTTATTTTATCATTTATTTGGCTACGACAACACAAATAGTTTAGCAACTAGACTGGTACTGGACTGTTGCTAAGCAACATTTCCCTGACCTGCACAGCGCCACTAGCTAGCTACTTTGTCCACACATTGGTTTCTCTACTGTCTCTGATGTTACCTCAGGAGTGCTCTAAAGTATCAAGGCTTCTTCCCTTCATCCTCTCCTTACAACCAGACATCATGTCATTCAAATGTTATTTCTGGAAATATTTTCATCTTTGCAAAGTTTGTTACAATCTAAGATAGTTAGCGACCGTTAATGTAACACTGATTAATGGTTAAGCGGAGTGATACATGAAGTTAAACAGTGCTGTTGTACTCTATATCAGCACTCATGCAATGCCTCTCGTCCAATCAAATTACTTTATCGGAAATAACTGTTGTATAATCCTGAATATCTCACCTTTTCTGTGCTTCCAGCTGCATCTATCCCCTGTCCCCAGTCATCTGCTGGAAAATATAGACGGAAAAGTCAGATGGCAAAGGATTTAAAAAAAAAAAAAAAAAAAAAAAAAAGAAGAAATAGTTCAAGTTCAAATTTATTGTATCATCATATGAATTAGAAGCAGTGCACTCCAGTGCAATGAAAAGCTTGTGCTCTGGCAATTATGGAATTTTAAATCACCAATGATTTTTGTTTGTATCATATCTCATACATCAGGTGTTTATGGCAATTTATCTCAAATGTTTGGGTTTTTGTGTTTTTTTTTTTCCAAACAAAAAACACATATTTTTGGCATTTTTATATATATATATATATATATATTATATATATAGTATATATATACTATAATTTTTTTTTTTTTTTTTTTTTATTAGTTTAATAATTAATGTATTCATTGTTATTTTGTTGTAGTGTACTTCACTGCAGCACATTACTACACATTGTATTATGTACTAAGCAGGGGGGAGAGGAACGTTTAGCTCTTTTCCGGGATAAGATCCAGTGTCATGGGTTGCCATGGCGGACAATTTATGTTTGAGTTTGGGTTAAAGGTAGGCTGGACCCAAATGTTGACCAAACACAAGGGAGTAGGTGGAAAGAAATTATCTTACTTACAAAAACACAAGGAAGATGAAAAGCAAGCTGAAGCATGAGGAAACACAGAGAACTAGAACAGCAAGCTGAAAAACGAGGAAACACAGGATTTTAAACAAACAAACTTATACAGACAAAGGGGAGCACAGAGACTAAATAGACACAAGGGAGGCGAGGGTGATTGAACACAGGTGAAACAGATTAGGGTGGGGCAGACAATCAACAAGGGGGGAAACAGGACAAAGAAAGGAAGTAAAAACATCAAGAAACACACAAGGAAAATAACTACAAAATAAAACAGGAAATGACCAAACCCCCAACATAAATTGTCTGTCACGGCAGCCCATGACATCCAGCTTTATAAGCATGTCTCTCAGGATGTAATGACACTATGATTTGGTATTTAAGATCATTTTAAGCTGTGGAACAGAGTTCATGATATGTTAGTCTGGTTTGATTGGTTTTTTTATAGCAGTGTTTTCTCCAAAACTGCAAAAAGACTTAGAATTAGTACGCAATGAATACACAAGAGCATACAAACTTCAAATAATGATATTGCACATAGTCTTTTGTCAGACAGCAAATACTATTATTGCACACTTTTTTTTTCTTGTTTGTTACTACTATTTCTGCCATATACGTAATATTTATCTGCTGTTATTTTTTGTAGGCTTTGTTCAAAAAACATAGTGAAACTACAATTACAGCCTTGCGGTTATATGCCTCCGCCAACCAGTCAAGTTGCAAGAAATATGGTCACAATAATAATAATAATCAGTCAATAATAGTCAGAAGAGTTATAATAAGATAAAACATTAAAATCTACTTAAAAGGATTTAGTTTAAGTTTTAGTTTAAATTCACTCTTAAAGGCAAACCACACTTCCTATGACGTCCCACAATGTGGAGCCACTGTTTTCTTGAACAGATTTAAACAATGCCTCTTGTCAGCAGAGACAAGCTAATGTTATGTAATGCTAACTCGCTAGGCTCAAACGGTGAACATTATGTTCTGAACATCATCATCATGTTAACATTGTGAACATGTTGTCATGCTGATGTTTAGGTCAAAGCTCTGTTGAACCTGGGTACAGCCTCACAAAGCTGCTGGCATGGCTGAAGGCTTGTTTTCTGTTGTGTCCATGAATTTCAAACTACAATAATTACACAAATTCAAACATCAGTCTGTTTCTCCTCTTAGATCCACTGTCTGGCTGCAGGACAGAGTAAAACAAACATAAGTCAAACTAATACAGCTTGCACTCTACACATTTTTAATATTTTGCTTCTTGTGACTGACCTTCTGCCGCTGAGCTGCAGATCTCCACCAGATCATTCCTGTTGATCCTTCTTAAAATGTCCTTCGTCATCTCCAGAGCTTCATCACGTTTATAGGTCTGCACCATCAGATCCACAGTGTCCAGCCTGTCCGCCTTCTCCAAGTCAGCCCTTCTGAGGGTTTTTCTTCCTTTGAGGATGTCATTCTCCCGCAGGAAGAATTTAAAGCGCTTAAAATCTTCGACTGTCAAGTCATCCACGGCGTCCAAGAGAACCTGTCTCACCATTGTGCTTCCCCTGCAAAAACCAGAGAATATTGTCAACCTGAGGGACAATTAGTTCATTAGTAGTCAATTGGCAGAGAGAATGACACAGTCACTTTAAATCAAGATTCAGAGAAACTGTGTCAAATCATCAGTTCAAACCAGACCTGTTTTATCAAACCTAGCAACAGACTGAGACAGAGTTCATCCGCCCTAAAGACCAGAAACCCCAAAGCCCACACCTAAGCATGTGCAGTTACCATAAGCAGTAATTATCTACTTTTATTTTGTGTAAAGTGAACAATGTATCTTAAATTAATACAACTGAGGAGTAAGAAAGAGCTGCTTCCATCTAAAGGACAAGGCCAACCTTGCCTCATTTTATAGCTGGGGAACTACCTTCGCGCTGAACAGAGGAGGATGACACAACTGATGCTAACTGATGCTAACGGGTTGCTGCTCTAAAATTCTGTCTCCTTAACAACTTACTTACTTACATATTTTCACTTATTTTATTTTTAGCTTATAGAGATTCACTCACCACTGTATAAGAAAGGTGTGAAGGAGCCCAACAGATGTTTTTTTTAAATGTCTGAAGTTCAAAACAAAATGGACAGCTTTCTTTCTTTGGTGATAAAGAAAGTGAAGAACGAAACTCTGATTTAACTCAGTAGTAAAAACATTTTACACACATACCTCTACAGGACTTTCATCAATGACAGAACACGTGATACTGGTCTAAATATTGCAGAATCTGCAGTCTTCATCTCTCTTCAGTCAACCTAGCTAAGAAATATCAAGTGAAGGAGGTACTTGATTAACGGCCATGTTGTTACAATACTGCAGATTTTATTCCTCTGATGTTTCTCCAAATACTCAATTAGTGCTTATCTCCAACCAAGTCCAGTTGCTCACAATTCAAGTTTTAAAATACATAAAGTACTTTAATATGATATGAGAGAAAGTTCATTATATGGCTGGGATCCGATATGATCAACTGTGAAATTGAGGAATGTATTGAAAAACTGCAGGAACTGTAAACAACCCCTGCACCAAGTCAATTGCATCTCTACTTGCATTCAGCCTAGTGTCTGCTGGTTTCAGGCCTTTACCTCTTTGCTTCTCTCTTCTTGCTTCTGTGCTCACATTTAAAGTATTTTATACAGGCCAATTCCCAATAAAGCTGTTTTCATTTACAAGTTGTTTCTGTTTATGTTGTCAGACAACGGAACAAGTTTGAAATAGTGACTGAAACGTGGCCCAATATGACTACATGTCAACCAGCAGTCATGACCGAGCCATTTCTAAGATGCTAATTTGCTGCTAAAATCCAGAGTTTAACACTGAGACGTCTCTGACAAAATCACCAAACACATTAGTTAAATACAAGCAGCAACATCAGTGGCTGAAAAATTAAGCTAACGCGGAAGTAAGAAAAACTGCACTTCTTCTAACGACCACTAGAGTCTGGCTCCAAAAGCGAGACAGTCCCCATAGTCTCCCATGTTAAAATGTCCAACTTTACAGCAGAAATAAACATGTTTACAGCCTGGTACAAAAAACGGTTTTGATCTCTAGAGCTAATCTCCTTCTTCATGACAACTGTTTAATATAACTCACCTGTTTACATTAAATTATTAAGGCTTAAAATGATGGCGAATTGAGGGCGTGCCGTTTAGATTGACAAGTGAGCGTATGCTAGCTACAAGCTGGTATGCACCGAAGTCTTGGCTCGACCCGCGCCCCTCCTCATTGCCTATTTTTGGATTAGCCGTTAGTTCGGCGGATTCAGGTACTGACAAGATGGCGTCGACGGAACGACCCACTCTGAGCCACAAAACCGCTCTTTTCTTAACCTATGGGTGACGTCACGGAGGCTACGTCCATCTTTATTTGCGGTCTACTTGCAAGCCGCCATGCGAACTGGTAAAACAGATCTGTCACATCTCATCCCCGCGTGAGAAGCTGCGATCGGTGATTGTGTGTTTTTTAAACTTATTTCTCACTCTCAGATCACTCTTTCATCCCCGGGCGCTGTGCAGCTGCGGTGTTTCTGATGTAACAGCATCGTGCTGGACAGGTGACAGGTGTGTCTACAGTGTCTGTACTCTGAAAGACGTTACAGCAGGAAAAGAGGCGTAAATTAGCGGGTGTTGTGTTTATATCAATACCGATCGGAGCAGGAGCCGATAAATGCCCGCATCTACTGCAGCCTCCATCCGGGTAACAAACTATGTGGGTGGAGCTAATCTCAGGCAAACAGGTTTACAGATCACTGATAATATTATAGTTTAACCTTTCACAATGACTATCCTTTAATCCTTTGAACATAATATTAATTTTTTTTACTGTTTTTTTAAACATTTTTTAAAACACATCTTATAAATTGTTTTTCATAAATGTATGAATAAATCCTTTTTTTTTTTTCTTTTTTTTTCATGCCCATGGTACTCCATAGATACAACCAGGAGATTGTAGACAGACAAGAGTGCAGCCCAGGGCATGCAACCACGCTCGGCCACCCACTGCTGCCCCCTTGGAGCTTGGGACTTTTTCGGGTTTGTGCCCAAATAAATGTCTTTTAAAACTTGTAACAGGCCATTAGCATATTATCTTTTCAACTGTCACATGCATTCCTCCCCACGGCACACTGTATCAAATACCCTATTGTAATCAATAAAAAAGAAAACAAAAAACAAGAGGACTTTTCTTTTCAAAACAACACAATTCAACTTTTAGTGGAAAAGATGTGATCAGTGGTAACTTTTTCTAAATACTGCCTGGATTTCCTGGAAGATATAATCTTACAGTTAAATGAAGCTGGTAAACTGACCTTGTATCAAAGAAACAAGAACATCAAAATTACAGCTTTAAGATACACTGAACTCAGTTGGTTTCAAGAGAAAATCATCGCATGAGTGAACTTGTCTTCACAGCCACAATAATTCCGCTGACGAACAGACCAGTAGCCTCATTTCTTTGTAAGAAAATTCACATGGTTAAACTGAGATGGTTGTTCAGAAGATAAGATAACATCTGTGATTTAAAACAAAAAAGCACTGTGCATCTACCTTTACACAGACACACAAAATACACAAATATTGCATAAGCTCACCTTTACCTTGTGTGTCCTTTGCGTCGCCTGCTAGATCTACCTGGCTGGTTACAAACAAAGTGTGACAACAAAAGGAATACTGAAAGTAACATACCACCAACTCCCTATTTCCTGAAACCTTGTGGGTAGTTAGACTTCTTGATTACCTTACATGGGTCATTCAAAAATTCTAATCCACTGTAGCCACTATGATAAATAGTTACTGTAATCATGGGCTATTGTTCCTTTTCATTCTGATTTTGGAACAGGGTTCATTGGGGCACTTCTTGGTTTGGAAGAAGGGAGTGAGTAAGTAAGAACTGAATAAGAAATGAAGTGAGACTTCAACATTATCAACCTTCTTTTAATTATAATTGACAAATTCTACAAATATAAAGAAAAATTATCCAAATCTTTATCAAATTAATTGAATTTAATACATCAAAACACTTAATAAACATACAACCAACAAAAAAGCGAACGCAGTCTAACATATTTCGACATAATCGCTCTGTAGCCCCTGATTAAAATGATTGTTATTAATTGCTGTATTTGATTTATATATTCTTAATATTTCATTTTATTATTATCATTATTTATTACATGTACTTTTTGTGTTTTACGTCATTTGATTGTTTTTTCTATTTGATTGATATTTATTTTGGTGTATATTTTGTATATATATATAAAAACAAGAGCTGTCAACCTCACAGGCGGTTATTTCCAGCATTTCCTGCATGGTAGACGCTTTGGAGAGAATACGTACATTAGCGGAGCTCGTGAACGCACCGTTGTAGTTTAATTGAACTACAACTCCCTTGTTTCACTGCTCTGTGGCCGTCAAGTCGGGTAGTGTGTGCTGGATTTGGTTTTAAACGACAGGGGCGAGCGGGAGTGTGTAACTGGACTGGATTCAAGCAGTGTTGTGGTAATAGTGATATTAACTTCTATCGGAAGTAGACTGAGTACTGCGTTGCAGTTTCTCTAAAGAGGGATTTAAACGGAGGACCGGAGAGGTCAGGCTAACTGCCGTGTAGGTAGACAACGGTTGACAGTTGACCGACCGGAGAGGCCGAGTAAAGCCATGCTCTGTCTCACGTTACCCGTGCTAGCTAGCTAACCTAAGTTGTCATACTTGTATTCCTATATCCACCGGACTAAGGATGTTGCGTTATGTATCTAGGAACCACGTCGTATGTTACCGAGCCGACAGCTGACAACAACGACCGTAGCAGCTCCGCGGGCTTCAAACCGTTATGGTGCTTGTGGGTGTGTTAGCATAACGTTAGAGGCACTCGGCTAATGCTAGCTGCCGGCTGCTGACGAGGGAAAACCCACCACCAGAGGTGAACAAAGTACACAACATCAGTACCTGAGTTAAAGTACAGATCCTCCTGGTCTAATATGACTCCAATATACAAGTGAAAGTGGTTCAGTTAAGTTTTCACTTGAGTTATAGTACTGGAGTATTTGATTTATAAGATACTGAAATATTCTAAAGTATACAAATTGTCAACTAGTCAGCAAATTGTATTGTTCCACATTTACAGAACCGAATGACTCTGAAACAACCTACTGACTATAGATAAATAGATACTTACAGGGGGTAGGATTAATATATCCAGTAGCTCATTAGATATAATAATGGTTGTTAATAAATAATTTTTTTAGTTGAGAATGAATGAATGACTTTCATAAAACACTGTCACAACATCGCAGCTAAAACTCCGGGATTTGTCCCTCAAATCTTCACAGCCTGCGAGTGCATTTTCATAAAGTAAATCTGAGCTGCTCTGATATATCGTGCACCAGAATATTTTAGGGTGGATTTTTCCCCTCAGTGAAAATGACACTTTCTGTCTAGTGTACAGGAGGAACTAAGCTTCTCAGAAAAAACAACTCAGTTAAAGCCAGAATGTTTATACATAACTGTATGTTTTGGGGTCTAAATGACTTCTGTTAAGTGTTTTGGTTCTTAATTGGTAATAAGTGTTACCTGCTGGCCAGAGAAAACCAGTTCTATCTCTGGGAAGAAGTGAACCAGGAGGTGGTTCAGGATTATTACAGCAGAGTAAGTAGTAAACAATGTGTTTGTCCCTCAGGTGTCCAGATGGCGACAGATATTGTTGCGCAGTTGGCCGACTCTCTGGCCCAGACAGGAGTAGAGGAAGGAGAGCTGAGCTACAAAGGCCAGGGAAGAAAGCTGAATGATGCCCAGTCAGGTGAGTGTCATCTGTCACTGAGCCAGTGAGGCTTGATTGCTAAAACACACTGAAGTCTTGGTTTGGATTATTTTCCCTTTCATGGCCTAACTGTGTATGAAATTACTGTCACACTTCAATCTCCCTTCTCTATTTGTCAATTTATAATCCTGTTTCCCCCCTCTCCAGTGGAGGAGATGGTGAAGGAGATCCAGGACTTTGAGGGTTTAAAGGCTCTGAGGTTGGAGGGGAACACTGTCGGTGTGGAGGCAGCACAGGCCATCGCCAAGGCCCTAGAGACTAAGAGCGAGTTCAAGGTTTGAAATGTTTGCTCTCTGTTTTTTTTACTGGACAAATATGAACATAGGTAATATGAGAATATTAAATTAACCAAAGTGATGTCAACAAATTCACAGAACAACCACTGTAATGGAATAAATTAAATGTTGTGTCTTGACCGACATTGACACTGTGTAATTTTAATCTGTCTTTCAGCGCTGTTATTGGAGTGACATGTTCACAGGTCGCCTGCGCTCTGAGATCCCACCTGCCCTGGTAATGCACTTGTTCCACTACATTACTGTCCATGTCAAAACAAGTTTAGGCTTCCAGTCAGAAGCTGTTGAAATATTGCACATCTCCTAAGTAAACACATCGCAAGAGACCGACTGAAACACGATACACATGCCCAAAACATTGTTGTTGGGCTGCAGCCTCTCTCTCTCTCTCTCTCTCTCTCTCTCTCTCTCTCTCTCTCACACACACACACACACACACACACACACACACACACACACACACACACACACACAGCTGACAGTACAGAGGCGGCGGTTGAGACCAGTAAGGAGTTAACTTTTTAAACATGTAGAAAAGCTTTTCAACTTCTCCATCCACCGCGGTTTGTTTTACACGAGCGCAGCACGCTAACGTTAAGCTAATAGTGAACTGTTATGTTAGGAAATATTTCTGTGTGTAGACTGCAGCATAAACTTTAGTAAACTTATAACTACAACGTGAGACAGCCATTTATCATGCCATTTTATTCTTTCTCTCCTTGTGCTGTAGAATTCACTGGGTGATGCTCTGATGCTGGCAGGTGCCAGGCTGACCGTTTTAGACCTCAGTGACAACGCCTTCGGACCAGACGGGGTGAAGGGCATCGAGAACTTGCTCAGGAGCACCGCCTGCTACACACTGCAGGAGCTGCGGCTCAACAACTGTGGCATGGGCATCGGAGGGGGGAAGGTAAGTCACAAGAGTGTCTTTTGTCATCATTGCCAGGAAAAATGAACTTCAGGAATAAAGACAGAAACACAGAGTTAACAAGTTCACAAATCTTCGTAGGTCCTGTTAAATGTTATTGTATATCCATTGATGCTTGGATGAATGTGATCAGAGCTGAACACATCTGTTTATGGACTCCTCAGATCTTGGCTGCCTCGTTGATCCAGTGTCATAAAAAATCCAGTGCAGAGAGCACCCCCCTCAGCCTGAGGGTGTTTGTTGCAGGGAGGAACCGACTGGAGAACGATGGAGCCACTGCCCTCGCTCAAGCTTTCCAGGTACAGGTTGAACTACTTCCTGAACTTTGACCACTTTACTTAGACTGACGGAGCAACCTGGGAAAACACAGTAAAGTCTATTTCTGATGGAGAATACCACATTGCCGCACTACAGTTTTATTCCATCAGAACAGTTGTTGAACTTTGAATCAGTGTGTGAGATTTTACTACTGCTTGCCTTCCTGGTGCACTTTGAATAATTAATTTCAATAATGATCTATGAAATAATGATCTCAGACTAGTTTATATCTATGCTTCTTATATGCTATGTGGCTGTGCAGGTAAAATAATCTCATGACCACACTTTGTGTTCCCAGTTGATGGGCAGCCTGGAAGAGGTTCACATGCCCCAGAATGGCATCAATCACCCCGGTGTGACAGCCCTGGCCACAGCCATGCAGCACAACACAGGACTCCGCATCCTCAACCTCAACGACAACACCTTCACTGAGAGGGGGGCGATCGCCATGGCTCAGGTACGGAGACATCTGAGAATTAGTATCATCACTGTAGGTGAAGCAAGGTAATAAAATAAAAAAACCTGGTACTGCAGAAAGTAGAAAGTAAATGAGAGTATAAGATATGTGTAGAATTCTCTCTCTAAAGATTGATAGGTTAATGATCAGGAAATTCACAGTGAGAAGCAGGATGAGCATCACTTGCAGTTGTCATTAATTAAGGCTTCAGCAGGATATTAAGTTTTAAAATCCATCACTGCAGCCTGTGAAAGAACAGACAGCACTCTTCCTCCCTCATATTGTTCCATCAGCAGCTAAAATATCCTGCGAGCATTGTGGATCTTTTCATGAAGGTTCTGTTATAGATGACTGAAGTGATTTCTTATGTCTGAATAACATAAAGCCATCACTTTAAAGGGACAGTTCAGGTGTTGTTGACGTGGGGGTTGTGTGAGGTTAGTCATATAAAGTCGGTACATCAGACGAGGAGCACCGTCAGACCAGCAGAGTGATGTGTTCCTGGGGGCGGGGCCACCAGAGAAAACCTGTTTTAGACACTTTTAAAAACACCCACCTCAACAATCCAGTATCTGTTGAAGCTTCATGAACAACATTTTTAGAGGTTTATCTTCCCGTGAAAACAGCACTTTCCTTTGGCACTACATTTTTCTCAACCGTTGAACTGCCGTACTCCTACGCACAAGCGCACCTACGGGACGCACTGTATAACACCACGGCCACAGATCAGCTGAGTGAATCAGAAAGCGACCTAATACACTGCTGTGACCCCTCTCATATTGTGTGTAGTTATTTGAGCCATTGTTTATGTAGAGAGATATTAGTGGAGCTCAAAGAGTGACAAATATGGCATTAAAATGTTCTGGCATGAGATCAAGAGATGAGATTTTAGCCTTCTTTTAAAAATCTTTTTTGTTCGTTTGGTATCGGTGAAGCTGCAGCAAATAATGTCTGTGTCCTTCACAGGCTCTGAAACACCTCCGCAGCATCCAGGTGATAAACTTCGGAGACTGTCTGGTGCGGCCAGCAGGAGCCAAAGCTATAGCGGAAACTGTATCAGAGGGACTCCCAATCCTCAAGGTGAGCGAGTGGCCTACTTCACTACTGGACCCGATCACACCTGAGCTGTCACCGCCTGTCACCCCTAGTTTGAACCTGTAGGCTTTGATCATTTCTATACTAAATTTATTCTGAAAGGGCTTTATTTACGTATCCTGTTCTTAGTTTTTCTTCCTTTCAGAGTGAATATTTTGTTGTTTAACAGGAACTCAATCTGTCATTCGGCGAGATCACAGAGGACGCTGCTCTGGCTGTGGCACAAGCAGTAAAGGACAAAGACCAGCTGGAGAAACTGGACCTAAATGGTACAAACCTGCAAAGAGCTCTTTACACATCTAATACATCTATCATCAAATCATCTGTTTATATAAAGATTTAGAATATTTCTTTTTCAGTAAAAATACAGAGACATGGAGACGTTATTTATAGATATTTGCCCCCCTGACTACACTGTTTAAAATGATCTCTTTTGTTTCCAGGTAACTGTCTAGGAGACGACGGCTGCAAAGCTCTGAAAGACGCCATGGAAGGCATGAACATGGCCGAGCTTCTAGGATCACTCAGGTAATCATGTTGTACTTTTTAGCTCCTGTGATGTATTTAATGAAGTCTATCCTTTCTCTTCACTTCTCTGTCTCGTTGTGGGTTTGCTTCTTGCTCTGGGTGAGAAGCAGGAGAGGATGCTAATCTATGACACAGACGTTACGCTCAATTTAGAGTCTCCAGTTCACCTGCCCTGTTGGTGTTTGGACTGTGAGAGGAAACCAGAGCAAAGGCATGAGAACTCGTGTCAGGCTGCCTGACAATAAGCCTAGACAATCCAGTTTTGTTGTGCAGTCTAGTGTAGACAACAAGACTTTGGCCATTTGTCTGGGACAGGAACATTTCTTAGATCTACCCTGTAACCGTCGTCATGGGTCTTCTAGTCTTCACCTTGTTGTCAACTGCTTTCTGTATATGAAGTCACATTTTCAGATTAAAGGTTATTTCACATTTCACAACCTTTTAATATGCGTTTTAATTTTAAAACACATCACTTTTGCTACGTTTACTCCTGGCTCCCACACTACTCTGGAGTGTTCAAGCCACTAAAAAAGAGACTCTGTGTTGTTGTCTGGACAGACAGAAGTGGAGACCTTTGGAAATGATAACGTAGACACACATGGACGCTCCCTGATTGGGTTTTATCTGCCTCGACTATTAGAGGTCAATACAACATGGATAACGAATTACAACCGTTGCTGACCTCGTCTTCGCTAGCAGCTGTTGTGCAGTTAAATTCTGAACTTCACAATAACCAATCTAACAGAGCAGACAATCTGCGTCCTGTTTACACTGGCACACACATGCTAAAACGCTCATCTGGACAGAGACGGTTTTCATTTTAAAAACGCTGTTTTAAAATCAGTGTGGTCAGTGTCTGCAGCATCTCGTCCGCTCCAGACGCCATCTTCCCTACAGTGACTTCATCAAATGTCATAATCAAAACATGCATCTCATCCCAGAACAAAATCCTCACTAACTGTGTTTTTCAGTGATGACGAGGGTGAACCAGAGGATGACGACGAGGACGAGGACGAAGATGAAGAGGAGGATGACGAGGAGGAGGATGTGGATGAGGAGGAAATAGAGGAGGAAGAGGAAGAAGAGGAGGAAGTGGAAAGCAATGGCAACAAGGTCAGATAAATGTGTCATTATAACTTGACCAGTCATAATAGACAAAAAAAAATTACTTTGACATACATGAGATTCAAATTCCACCTATTACATTGTGTTTTATTGCTGTAGCTGCAATGAATGGCTGTTAACCATAATTAATAAATTCTTAAACTGAAGCATATGTCACTATATCATTAGTGCTGACATGTCCACATCTTATTGCACAACAACACCAGTTAGAATCCAATAGTTGTGGTTTAGTTGACTTTGTTTTTGCTGCTCTTCCCCTTTTAGTTGTCCACCCCGGCATCAGCACCGCGGCCACCAGATGTCTCCTCCTTCCTCAGCTTTCCGTCCCCTGACAAACTGCTCAAGCTCGGGGCAAAGAGAGCTTTGCTGATTGAGCAGCAGGTAAACACAGGGATGATCCACAGATACAACCACACCGGCTTAACTTCTCACCCACATCAAGCTGTTTACGAGAGGCCCCAAAAAGCTAAACGAAACATCTTGGGTTACAGTTGAGGATATTTAGCTCAGATGTTACAGTAAAATGTTTCCTGTGTGCTTACGTGATGCAAACAAACTGGTTTCTCTGTGTCCAGGTGGATGTAACAGATGCTGCAAAAACAGCTGAAGCCTTCCTCAAGATTGCATCAGTGTACAAGGAGGAGAATAATGATATTAAGAATGCAGTGTTGGACAGTATCGGTGAGACACTTTGACTGTACCTACTGTAAAGTGCTTGACTGACGAGGAGGAAGTGTTGCATCTTCATTTGTGCCTTTCCGTGTCCTTTAATTACTGTGTGATGTTTTTCAACCTGTTTCATCAGATGATTTCTCAGAATGAGTTTGAAAAACCCCCAGAAATGATTGAAGTACGTGTTAGAGACATTTTGGAAAATGCACTTACTTTCTTAAGAATATTGAGACCACTCTCCGGTCTTTAAAGTTAATATATAGCATGAGCCAGCAACTGGTTAGCTTAGCTTAGCACAAAGACTGGAAACGGGGGGAATCAGCTAGCCTGTCGAGAAAACTTCCTAAAATATTGAACTATTCCTTTAACTGTCCATAGACAGTTTTCCCCTTTCTCCCTGTTTCCTTTCACTCTCCATTTGACCAAAAAGGAAACATTTTTAGTGGCTGAAAAACTGCATTATGGTCTGTTATTAAAGCTTGACCTCTCTGCCACAAACACATGCTGAGAAATGCAGGTCCCATTGTTTTACACAGTATATTTTAAAAGGTTGTTGGTGGATTTTTATTTTTTAATGCCTCAGTGTAGCTATTAAAAGTTCATGCATTTCCTTTATTTCCTTTTTTCTTGATGCTGTTAGAATATAAGTTATTAAGATCTTTTTTCCACCCCTCACAGATGCTCTTCTGAAGAAAGCTTTCACCACTCCTTCCTTCCAAGGCTACAGCTTTGTATCATCCTTGTTAGTGCTGCTTGGACTTATCAAGGTATGCTTAATTTGCACCTGAATCTATCACTTTTCGTCATCACTCTTTTCATTTTTCGTTGCTTCTTAACACTACCGTCTCTCGCATCTGCGCCTCCTTTGTCCTCCTGTCCACCGTCCATCCCGTCCTCCCGGCTGCCCAGAGTGAGGACAAGGTGAAGCCTGTGCTCGTTGTTCCCGGTCACCTCCACGCGTTGGAGCACGTCGTTCGACAGGACTACTTCCCCAAAGAGAGCGTGGCTGTGCTGGAGGCCTTCATGTCCCGGTAAGGACGTGACAGAATGAGCCAATCACCAGGCGGCGTGCAGGTACAAAATACCAGTATTACCATCCCATCTTCAGGATTTAAGCACAATGTTTTTGCACTCAGGGCCCTTAGTGACGGTGGTGGACACACTCTGGTGATTGCTTATGTTTGTGGTGGAATGAGTTTATTAACTTCTTGTTATTTGAATGTTTTGATGACTCAGCGCTTCAAATGGACAAATATTGAAGTTTAAGGGTCAATTTCCTCTTGAAGTTATAAGTTGCGTTTGAAATCACTCACTCATTCACTGCTCCCTGCTCAGTGTCCAGGAGGTCTATATAGTGAGCTCATCGGTAAAATAAAACACTTTCGGACACTACTGGGGTCGTTTTCTTCTGTCTTTCAGCTCGAGCACAATGCATGATGGTATATATTGCTTGGTTAGTGACCATAGGTTGCGCACTACTTTTCACAATGCATTGTGGGATACTATGAGTCCACCATATAGAGTATAACAATTCTCACTATACATTCGGACAACACTGCAAAATGGAAATTCATGGTAGTGAGTGATTTTGGACACAGCCATAATATTTAAGTTTTCAGTCCTGGTTGATTTAGCAACACCCGTTGTAACCGTGGGAACAGTATTTGTGGTTTAATACTACAGGTCCCAGATTTCTGGGGGCAGCAAACACTCAGCAGCTACTTTGCCACAAAAACAACAGATGAGGAAATGTTTACAGTGCAGCCAAACAAACTTGCATTGTTTCAATAAAGAAGTTGGTCAGTAACTGGGGTTTTTCTGGGGCATGGTGAAATGAGGTAGTTAACCTTCCTGCAGAGTGGAGGTCTTCATCGCAGCTCTTCATCTCACTGTGGCTGTTCCTCCTTCTTCTGTTACTCCCTGCAATATTCAAAACTGATCGACTGTCAAAAAAAGGCAGGAAATTACCACGTCTTGTTTCGCAGATGCATTTTTTGATAAATCACAGTAAGCACTAACCTCGGTGCTTTTCCTGTGAATATTTTCACAATAAAAGCCACACACGCACACACACACACACACACAAACATTTTGGCAGCTGAATGCTTTTAATGTGAAGCTGCAGCAGTGTGGAAATGTGTGCTTGTGGCTCTCAGTGCCAGGCAAGTTTGTTCTGCAGGTCACAAATATATGTTTGCTCAAACAGCTGGGCACTGATCTCGAACTGTAATCAACAGAGGTAACTAGTACATCTGTTGTGGACTATTTTCAGCAGCAGCAGGACGGTGTGTGTGGGATTGACTCAAACTGTGGTGCCCATAGTCATTGTCATCACTGATGTGTTTTTTGGGACATCAATGGAGCTTTATTGCAAACAGTAATAACCCACATCGACCTGTGGCTACACAGACAATACTTGTTAGTGTATACATGCATAAGCTCGTTGTTGGTTTTGGCGTTTAGTGGGATTCGTTGACAAAGAGGAAAATACCAGAAGACCCTCTAAACTCTAAGTGTGTTTATTATCCACAGAAACAACAAGGCCATGGAGTCATGTGGCAATGCCAAAAGAGGCCTCCAATCCACACTGCAGAGAGTCCAATCTGAGAGCTGAAGACTGGACACACACACACACACACACACACACACACACACACACACACAGACTGAACTTTGACTGATCACTGCTGGACCTTAGGAAACCGGAACAGGAGCAACACTCCACTCAGGCGCACTTCCCTGTGTCACCACAGACCTTCAGCACCAACTCCTTTTCTGGACTCTGGACTGGACTTGAATGCTTCGTGTTTTGAAGTGGACTATCCTCTTATGGCGTGGACTAATTGAAGTACTTCCGAGTACACTCATCTAACCACAGGACAGCACTGACAACTGTGTCTTCATGCTCTTTGTATCATGGTGAATTAGAAAGGCCTCGCTCCCCACGTGACCCAAGATCTGTCTCCTGGTCAGTGACTGAGGCACACATCACACTTTGGGGCAAACTAGAGAGTAAACTAAAGTTCTCACCAGGACTGAACATCAGCTGTTGTACATTTTCTATTTCATATCTACCTTTACTATTCTTTTTTTTTTTTTATCAAATGTTTATTAAATTCCCCAAAATATGATCAGACAACAGTTTTATTAAATATGTGTTGAGTGTTAAATATGATCAAAATAAGGCTGTAAAGTATAATAAATCAAAAGGGAGTGAATAGGTCTAAATGTATTTTCTGCCTTTAATGAGACACAAAGTGCAAAGTTTTTGCATTTGTGTTTCAAAAATAAAGCTGTTTTGAGTGTTGAGCTGATTTGCATATTATTAACTGCATTTATTCTATTTTAATTTTTGATTACAAAAATAAAGATAAGCTTTGAAGAGGTAATTGTTGGGGTTCAATGAAGTAAACTGACCCATAGAACAAATGCAAATAAATGCAATACAGTTACTTGACACCCCCCCACCCCCTCATTCATCCTCTAACTGGACAGAAAATGTAAAGCCAAGGTGTTAATTTGCAGTGAGGGGGCTCGGGGATCAGGGGTCACTGCGGAAGAATTTACCAAAGCCTTGTTTGTTAGTCTGCTGGAACCCAGACTGTAAGAGCTGGACACAGGGCAGATAACTGAAGCCTGAAACGGCAGATTCACATATAATCCATCTTTAATTCATGTTACCGACCAATCTGTGACAGTCAGACGTCCTGCTGAGGGTAAACTGCTTTTTGTTTTTTCTCTTTATCTTTCTTGAAAACCTGATGACTTGTGGTTGTAGACATTGAGTAGTAGATACAGTATTTGACAACCAGCATTACTATGTTTTCATATGGATGTATATATTTTAAATGATTTTGAAGAAAGACAAAACAATATTCTGTGTGTTGCAAGGGAAAAAATTCAAGAGATTACATTTTAAAAGTTGTAAATAATAGAAAGTAGTAATTTGAAGAGCTAGGTGCCCTTTTACTTTTTAAAGGGTTTGTTGCACCAAGCTTGTGAGGGGTTTTCACAGCGGCTCTGACTTTTCAGTATCATACATCTAACACATGTTTTACCGGCACAGATGTCTTTGTTCTCTGCTCCGGTCTTCCTGCTGGTTTTGGCGCTAAGTTCACGTGCTGAAGCAGGAAAATGTCCCAGGGTGTGCAGCTGTGACGACGCCAAACTCACGGTCACCTGCGTCGGCAAGAACCTAACGGCGGTTCCTCCGACTGTAGATGAGGTGAGGAAATCAAATGTGAAGTGTAGTGCCTCCTTTTTTACTTCACACAGCTGTTGGAGGAAGGAAACTTGAATGAAAGCTGTTTCTTTATTGATCCAAAAGGAAGTTGGTAAATCACTTTAATAACCGCCTCACCTGCCGTTCATCCTGCTCACAGATTACAGTGAAACTGGACCTGAGGAATAACGACCTGCAGGTGCTGCCCAGGGGAGCGTTTGTGCTCACGCCCTACCTCACCCACCTCAACCTGCAGCGCTGCAACATCGTCAAGGTGAAGGAGGGCGCTTTCCGGACCCTGGGCCGCGTGGTCTCCCTAAACCTGGCCTACAATAACATCGACATCCTTTACCAGGTGAGAGGAGAAGGCGAAACCGCAACACTGAAAAGACTCAGTTGATATTTTGGTCAGAAAACTGCACCGCTGACACTTTTTAAGAGGTTGAAGGGCATTTTCTCCATTTCTCCGTTATTTCTTAAATTCACCTTTTAGAGGATTCTTTCATGTCTCAGAACAATCTCAGCTCTTTTTATAACGAGGCTCTTCACTGTGTAAACTGATCATTCGGCCCAAATGCTGAAAAATTGAAACCTGGTTTTTGAAATTCTTCAAATCTCTTGTGAAAACAAACCTTTACTGATGTGGATGAATTGTTTTGGTGCTTGAAAAAGGTTCATCAACGTCTATAGGTTCATAGAAACAGTGCAACATGTGAGTTAAATAGTAGATAAATGCTGAAAATGAAACTATGAGACCGTATTTCGCTGCTGTATGATTCTGATATTAATAGAAACATTCATCGACCTCTTATTTCCCTCGCTGTCTCCACACCTCTGACCTCTGACCTCTGACCTGACTGATGCAGGAGTCCTTTGACGGCCTCTCCTCCCTGAAGGAGCTGCATCTGGACCATAACCGTGTGGAGGAGATCCAGCCTGGAGCCTTCACGCAGCTCGGCTTCCTCAACATGCTCGCCCTCACCCACAACCAGCTGGTCTACATCCCCAACATGGCGTTCCAGGTACTCGCACGTGGTTGTTATAGACCTTTTTCAATCATCATGAACACAGACAGCGATACAAATGCTGCTGCATGCGCGCATTGCTCCGTGGTTGATCGATATGTGGTCTCACCTCCTCTTCCAGGGCCTGCACAACATCAAGTGGCTTCGTCTTAGCCACAACTCCCTGAACAACTTGGCCCCTGAGGCGTTCGCTGGCCTGTTCACCCTCAGCCGCCTCAGCCTGGACCACAATGAGCTGCAGTTCTTCCCCACTCAGACCATGACCAGGTCTGGAAACTCTGAAGGAATATTACGTGCATTATACACATGACTTTAATAGCTCATGACTTTTAGCAGCGTCACTATAGGAACAAAAGCCACAGTGTTTTGCTATGGGCCAAAGATAGTAGTATTAGTACAGTAGTAAGTAAGTAAGAGACCAGTAAGAGAAATAAGAATGCCCACTCTTTGTTTACAACACCTATTGCATGTCTGAGAAGAGAGATCCCTCCCCGTTTTCTCCGTCTTCATCAAGTGGTTCTTGCGGATCTTTACCTCATCAAACCGGAGGACGTTGCATGTTGTTCAGATAGTAAAGCCCTCTTAGGCAAATTTGTGATTTCAGAGTATGTAAAGAAAACTGACTTTAATAATCAGTATGATACCATTTTTATAAGTGAAAATTATATTGTCATTAAAGGCTGGATGAACACACTATGGGGCAAAAAACAACCAGCTCAATTTCCTGCTTTGCCCAGTTGGTAATCCAGCTTTGATGTCGTTTATATGAAAACACACAATCTTATAGTTTCCAGTTTTCAGTTAGTCTGAGTTTGTGTGGTTCAAGTTTTTACTTTAATCTCTTCTCCCTTTGAAGACTCAGTGAAGTTACGCGCCTGGACATGAGCCACAACCCCATGACCTACCTCGGGGAGGAGTCCGTCTCCATGGCCAAGCTTACACGCCTCTACCTGGACCACATGTCCCTTCAGGACCTGTCAGACCACGCTTTGTCCCGCGCCCCCCTCCTCTCCCACTTGGACGTCAGCCACAATCAGCTTCGTTACCTGGAGCCCCTCTCAGGCCCCAAGGAGCTGGACAGCCTCAATCTGACAGGTACGACGGTTTTCACTTCATCCTAACATGAAAGACTGAGGACGATGGACATGCCGTAAGTCATTTTTAATACATCCTGATCATCATGCATCTTCTTAAAGGCAACCCCATCTACTGTAACTGCTACATGCGGCCCCTGAGAGAGTGGGCGAGCGCCGGCGGCGTGAAGCTGCTGGGAGCCTGTGTTGGACCTCCTCACCTCTCAGAGGAGCCGCTGCAGGCGGTGGCTCCTCTGGATCTGCGCTGCCGCGGCCGGGGAGAGACGCTGAAGGACGAGTTCGAGGAGGACAATGACAGCACAGGAAGCCCCCCCCCCACAGCCAAGCCCAAGCAGAGAGTCAAGTGTCCAGTTAACTGTGACTGTGATGTGAGTGTTTCTTCTTTTTCTTTTTTCTGGGTCAGATTTTGTGCGCTGTGTTAAAGAGTCCTCCTCCAACATTAGCTGCTTTTTATTTTTTAAATGGCAACAGGAAGGAACTGTTGTTTAAAGGGACAGTTCAGGTGTTCTGTCGTGGGGTTGTGTTAGTTTCAGTCATATACAGTCGGTTCATTACCTGCAGTAGATTCTGATCAGCTCCTCCCAGGTAGGAGATCAGACCAGGAGCACCGTCAGACCAGCAGAGTGACGTGTTGCTGTGGGCGGGGCCACCAGAGAAAAGGTGTTTTAAACACCTTTAAAAACAAAACAATCCAACATCTGTTTAAATGAAGCTGCATGTAGAATATTTTCAGACGTTTATCTTCCTGTGAAAACAGCACTTTCCTTTGTCACTATATTTTTTCAGCCGCTGAACAACCGTATCCCTACGCACATATACAGAGCGCACTGTAGCTGAGTGAATCAGAAAGCGGCGTAATACAGTACATCTCTGTAGGTGCACTTGTATGTAGGAATACAGAGTGAGTTTAAAGTCATATTTTTAGATTAAGTTACTAATAACTGGAGCGTCAACATTGTTAGATACCAAAGGAACGGAGAAAAAAGTTTCATACACCTTGTTTTGATAATAGATGTAAAAACATATCTGTAGACTAGTTACCATATTTATCATCACAGTGGAAAGTAACTTAGTAGATTTATTCAAGTACTTATGAACTATGTTTTAATGTGCTTTTCCATTTTATGCTACTAGGAAATATACACTTTTCCTCCATTACATTTATCTGACGGTTAATTGTGACTTTTTAGATCAAGATTTTTCCCACAAAACATATGATTGAACTTATAAAAGATATTTTATAAATTGAGTTGATTAAAAAAACCCAACAGTGTAAAACAGTTCAGATGAGTTCTACATTTTAATGCATCAATAATAGTCAAATGATACTGTATTTAAGGGGCTATTCTGTGTCACTCAGTGTTTGTGTAATTACTCTCACGGCCAGAAGGGGGAGACAAACGTCCCCCACTGCAGGTTTAAGTATGAGTGAATACTTTCTGACAATACTTATGCAATTTTACAAAGAAATATTTCAATGCAGGACTTTTACTTGTAATGGAGGATTCCTACATTGTGGTATTTCTACTTTTACTTAAAGCAGCTGTAGTCAATGTTTTTATATGAACTAAGTCTTTGTGAATGAAGTCGCTCATAATGATGAAGCCACAGAAAACTGTCACCAAGTAGCATTTAGCAGCTAAAGAGATATTTTCCAAAAACAGCTAAAAAGACAGTGTTGAACTTACATTCATCGCTGTCGCACCATCAGAAGTATGTTGCTGTAGAGGTGTGTCCTTGGTCCGGTGCTGTTTACATTATACATAAATAACATAATTGTTCCTAATCTATACATCAGTGTCTATTTCCTTGCTGATTGAACAGTTTTATATGCCCCCAGCTCTTTTTTCTTCACCTCCACCAGTGTCACTAACCATCCTGCCATTAAAATGGCACCATTTTACTGTCACTGAGCCTTACACATACTTAGGAATTAGACCGGCTCTTAAGATTTATATTCAACAATTGATTCAAAAACGAAAACATCAAATATCTCATGCTGAATGAATCAACTACAAACTCTCTTCAAATTAGAGTTTACATTTCCTTTGGAGATTTTAAGTTTTGTTTTCTTATGTGTTTTCTTTTCTGATTCTTGAAAGTGCTTTTCTTAGTTTCCTGTTTCTTAGTTCCTTATATTGTGTTTCTGTTTTGCTGATTGTGTCCTTCTGATTGTTTTTAGTTCTCGTGTCTCTCTTGGAAAAGATGTCTTAATCTGAGTGAGACTGCCTGATTACATAAAGACTAAACTAAAAATTAAATCAGATGGCCAGAAACACAACTTCAAATGAATGTTAATATTACATGCTAACAAGAGAAAATGTGGTAATATATCAGTTTTGTTCATAACAACTTGCTGCTATAATATGTTGTTATAATATTCCATTGTGATTTGACCCTCCCCAGATTGAAGCCCAGCATGCCACATGTGAGGGTCAGGGTCACACCAAAGTCCCACGAGGCTTCCCCACGAAGACGCAGCTGCTGGACCTCCGCAGCAACCACTTCCACTACCTTCCTGCCAACGGCTTCCCAGGCAGCGGTCAGGTCGTCTCCCTTCACCTGGAGCTCTGCAAAATCCACGAAATCGAAGGAGGCGCCTTTCGGGGGATGAAAAACTTGCTTTATCTGTATCTTTCTGACAATGACCTCACAGTCTTGGATCCTGGAGCCTTTGCAGGAGCCCCCAAGCTCACCTACCTTCACCTGGAGGGGAACCGGCTGGCACAGTTCCCTGGATCAGGTCAGTGGTTGGTCAAATCCAGTCTGGCTGTGAGTGAATTAAAGTTGCAGGAACTCATATTCTGTCTCTCTGTGTCTCTCCGGTAGCTTTGGGAGTCTTACCAAGTCTGTTTGTGTTACACCTGGAACGAAATGCCATCTCCAAACTAGAGCCCGCTGGTTTGCTGTCCTCAGTAACCCCTAAACTAAGGGAGCTTTATTTGACCAATAACACCATTACTGCTATTGCCAAGGGTGCTCTGGACTCAGCGTTCCTAGGTACGCTTCACCTGGATGCAAATCAGCTGACAGAGGTGCCGACCCACGCTCTGTCCGAGGCCCCTAATCTGGAGGAACTCAACCTATCTCACAACTCAATTCGCTGGGTGGGACCGAACGCATTCCAGCCTGTGTCCCAATGTCTGAAGAGGCTTTACATGGATCGGATGGGCATGGAGAAGGTATGAGAGACCACAGCAGCACTTCCTAAGTGTCCTTTGTTTATGTTTTCTCCTGCATTGTTCCACCAGCCAACTCCTACCTCCATTTCTGAATACACTTTCTTAACTGTTTGTTTTTTTTTAAATTATGTTGTTATTACTGGGAACAGTATTTGATGTAATCATAACCTGTACAACCTACACTGAGACCAAAATTGTACCATTGTCCAGATGTCCAGGGACGCTCTGGCGGGGCTGGGCCCGGGGCTGAGGGCTCTGACTGTGAGAGGAAACCAGCTGGAGGAACTTCCTGAGCTGAGCCCACTCACAGGCCTGGAGGTGGTCGACCTGCAGGACAACCCTCTGCTGTGTGACTGTGCTCTGCTGCCCCTACGCAGGTCAGTGCAGATTCCACTGGAATTAGCTTTTTGCAAATCATTTGGCGTTAAAGTGTAAGTAAGTATTTCTAAAATTACGACAGTGGCAACACATTTAATCTCTGTAAACTGCAGAGGTCTGCAGCTGCTGGGAGAGATGCTACAGGGACCAAGGAGGCATCTAGATTAATTGCTATTCAAATTTACACTGTTCACAGGGATTGTTTGACAGTGTCTCCCTCTGTCTCTTTGTATCTGTGCCTCAGGTGGATGGAGAATGTGAGTTTGGAGGTGATTGCCACCTGTGGTCACCCACCGGAGCTCAGGGGTCAAAAGGTCACTGACGTCCAGGTCTTCACATCGTGCCCACAAAGTGGCTCTCCTCCAGGTCAGGAAGCTGTTGTGGACCCCAGACCTCCAAAACTGAAGAAACCCAAACCCAGCCTCTCGAAAGCCCCAGGAGTCAAAGCGCGGCCTGCAAAGCCCAAAACTAAACAACCCAAACCAACCAAGAACCAGCCTCAGAGGAAACCTGTGGTACCAAAAGTGGCAAAGAACAAGAAAACACTGTAATAAGTGAATATAACAAATTGAACTTAACCTGTTTCCAGCTTTTTTGCAGTTAGCCTGATCATGTTGATGAGATTGTTATTGTAGCTAAGTGTGAAGACACTTTTTTGTTTTTATTTACAGCTCTTCAGATTGCAAAGATGTGTGGAATTTACATGCACTCTTTGCTATCTGTGTCTAATAAACACAACAAAGCAAAAACAAAGGGGAAAGAAAAGAAAGAAGCAACCTGGTCAACAAACTCCCATTGAACATTTATTTCAAACTGTCAAGGCCATCTCAAAAACTACAATAAATGTTGTATAAAAAAATAAATGTGTATTCACTAATATACATGCTAGTATACAGCGGTCAAACCAGTAATGGTGATTTATGGTAATTCTTGTGTTTTATGTCCAACTGAGCTACAGTGAAATAAAATATATTCACTGCCAGTCACAACTATATAATCTGTGCTGATATAACACCTGCATAAAGCTTCTTGTGCCCATTGTTTTTCCTCTCTTCTACTCTTCAGCTGAAATGTACAGATGACTATAAAATCTGTTAATCACTATCAACTATGAAGTGTATAACGACAAAATATTACATGACAGCCATTGGTTCCATGGTGTAATGGTTAGCACTCTGGACTCTGAATCCAGCGATCCGAGTTCAAATCTCGGTGGAACCTAAGTTTTTTCTTCACTTCATTTTAATGGACTTGATAAATGGCGCAGTAGTTTTATTTTAAAATGTCATAATAATCACATACTCTCCAAAATAAGCATATAATAAAGTAGACGGCACGAGCTGTGTTTAATAAAATAATACGCCGGCGGAAATTCCTGTGTTTCTTCCGGGTAACATATTCGTTACACCAAACTTCGCCATTCAAGATGGCAGCAGCTATGGATGTAGATACACCGAGCGGCACAAACAGCGGAGCAAGCAAGAAGCGATTTGAAGTAAAGAAGGTATGGTCGAATTACTCTGTATCAAGGTGTAAATAATTTGTGTAATCTATCAGCAGCGCCAAATCACCGCTATCTCAGCTCACTAACACTAACTAGCTACCTGCTATTAGCATGCTAGCGCTAAAATCACTGTACATTATGGTTAGTGGCTCACATAGTTAGCAGTTAGCCTCCCTCAGACAGGGCATGAATTTGCACTTCTCTTTTTGGTGGCTAGCGAAAACTTTAATCACAAGAACCCACACTGATGTGATGGAGACCACCAACCCTCAGCACGGTGTAATTAACAAAAGAGAGAATCCATCTTAACGTTAACGGTTAACCTTAACTGACGTTGTCGTTTAACACCAAAGCTCGGAACCCTTTGCGAGCTAAGTTAGCTTAGCTAAACTGCATTCCGAACACTGATAGCTCCTACAAAGATTCAAAATCTGTAACGTCAGCTACAAAACGTTTATGATCATCTCCAGATATTATTAATAATAAAAATAATTAATTAATAATAAAATGTATGTTCAACGTAAAGGTTGTAAGATAAAGAGATGATACGATTGGTTTTCCAAATCTGCAAGTTCCAAAATTTTAAAAAGTTAAATCTCATCTTTTTTTCATTTATTTTTTATTAACTCCCAAATAAAACTTTTTTATATTATTTTGATATTGGCATTAATCACTGAAGCTGTACATCAGTTAACAACCTGTGCACTGATGGTCCCTTACTGTTTCCATGTTGTTTACTGTGCTTCTCAAATAAGACATGAGCATGTTTAAATGTTTTAAATCTAAAGTGTTAAATAATTTATTTTTGTTCCAGTGGAATGCTGTGGCGCTGTGGGCCTGGGACATTGTGGTGGATAACTGTGCTATCTGTCGAAACCACATCATGGATCTCTGTGAGTTTGCTTTCACTCTATTGACACATTCAGACAGGTGACAAATTAAAGAAGAAACCTGAATAAATGAGTGGAGAAAGGATGACGATGCTCCCGTCATTAGGGCGCGAGGGGTCACTGGATGGTTTAAAGAGTATGAAAATGATGTGAATGGGATCTATGGGAGATTTTGGACCAATGTGTTTGACAGCGCTCTCTACCATCATCATCAAAACACCAAATGAGGGAATGCCTTTTGGAAGAATGGTGTTCAGAGACTTGTAGAATCAATGCCAAGGCTCATTGAAACTGTTCTGGCAGCACACGGTGTCCCAACATCTTACTAAGACACTTCATGTTGTTTTTTTCCTTTTAATTTGTCACCTGGTTTTGTGAAATTGTATCTGTTGACACATTTTTCCTTACAACATCAGGTATAGAGTGCCAGGCCAACCAAGCTTCTGCAACTTCTGAGGAGTGCACTGTAGCCTGGGGTGTCTGCAATGTGAGTTTCTATTCCCGCCTCTAACATATGTCTAACATTGATTTTATAGATGAGAAATCAGAATATTCTCCTCATCGTTGATTAATGCTTTAAAGCACATTATATTTTATGATTTAATTATATTCTGTAAGTGAAGTAAAACCATAACTTTACTTATGGTACTTATGGAGGTTCTTTATTTAAATGCATAGAGTTGTTATTGCTGTGTTTAACTCTGAACTCCTGCCAGCTGTAATATCTTACTCATAAATATTTAGCTTTCAAATTTCACAGAAAGTTTATAAATGTTATGGTCATAAACCAGTTTAAAACTGATTCCAATTATTTACAGTCTGTGTTTATGATGATAGTTGATTACATTTTACTGTTCTCATGACAAATTTCCACCGTTATGTCATAATTCAGTGCCATGTTTGGTGTTTCCATCGGTCTGATAACTGTCACAGACAAAAGTTAGTTGCATATTATCACCATTTAGATTAATTATCCCCTGAATGTGAGGCGTCATTTGAATCTGAAAATGACTTGAAACTCTTTATGATCAGATAACAGTGCGGGTTTGAGTTTAAGGAAATGCTCTGACAACAGCTTCTGATCAATTTGAAGCCAGCTCATTAATAATCAAATCAAGCTTCCTATAAGATTGATTTGAAAATCTTTAAAAATCATAAGGTGTAAATGTGTGTTAAGACAGAATGCAAAGCAAATTATTGAGGAGGCAGAACAGATTTATACAGTGGGAAAATTTGCTTCACTTTCTGAACACATTAATAAAGAGTCATGGCACCTTTTATACAAAGAATTACCCATCATATGAACTGATGTTGTAGTATTAAAACTGTAGTTTTAATGGGTGGGGTGGTTATTGTGCAGAAAGTTAAGTTATATTAAACTTAGTTCTGGTTATGATAAACCATACAGCGCACAGTATATTCATATCTTTTTATACCCTGATTGTTTGTGTCTTTTCCCAGCATGCCTTCCATTTCCACTGTATTTCTCGCTGGCTGAAAACGAGACAGGTGTGTCCTCTGGACAACAGGGAGTGGGAGTTTCAGAAGTGAGTATCATTGCCTGTAGATTCAAATGTAATTCTCCAAAGTGTCGTACATACGGATTATGTAACAGTGCATTAAATCTTAGTGTTGTCGTCCATTCATCGCCTCAGACAGTGAAAAGTTGTGACTATATTTCTGAACCTCTCTCTCTCTCATTTTCACAGATATGGACACTAGCTGTGTTATTGTCAATCCCTTTCTTGGCTTCTACAAGCATCATCATTACTTCCTCTCTGTTCCCTCTCTAATCCTAGTTGTTGTTGTTTTACACCCACATCTCTGTTTTGGTTTGTTGTAAGTACAGAAATAAACACAAATGTTATCAGAACACAGAGCTCTGTTTGTTTGTGTGGGCAGCAGGGCTTTCTGGTGGTTCACTGCGCTGGTTTGTGAAGCAGGAATTAAAATGACAATCTGTGCGGACATAAGAGACGGGCTGACTTTCAGCTGCTGAAGAGAACATGGCTCAACATTTAGTTTGGTTGTGTCAGATCAGCTTTGACGCAGTGATTCAGGGCTCAGTGAGAGGCAGGACCGACCGTGTCACCGTGCAGTAATCCTCTGGCTGAAAGACAGATGCGGCGGGTGGATTAAGTGGCCCGGTGACCCACTGTCCCTCTGGTGCTGATTTATCCTGGAGCACCTGTAGAGACTTGTGTATATTCAGTTCCTGTTTAAAAGAGCGGACCTTTATTATCCACTAAAGACGAGTCAAACTAGTGGTTAATGTAAAATGACAGAACTGATGAGGACTGCAACCAACAATGACCTTTATAATTTATTTGAACAGTTCTTTGGCACTATTTAAATAATCATCATTTTCGTATAAATTTCAGTAACTCCTCAGTTGTAGCTTCTAAATTTTGTGGGTTTATTTCTGTGATTCTTGTTGATATCATGATGGGATTAAAAAAAAACATTTTGATATTTTAATCAGCCAAAAGATTAATTCAATAACTAGTGGGAAATGGTCATTTTAAACAATAATGAAAATAATTTAGCTGCAGCCATATTACTGAATACTGGAAAAAAGAACAGCCATTTGTAATTTCCAAGATGATTTTAAAATTTTAAATGTTTTATCTGAGTCCAAAACTCAAAGGTATTTAAATGACATTAATATACAACAGAAGAAATCACATGAGAATCTGGAACTAGTGGATGTTTACCATTATTAAAAACTGGTAACTGGTTCAGGTATAAAACCTAAAGTTTTTTTTAAAATATATATATATATATATTTTGGATAGATGCAAAATTTTGCTGACCAGAATTGGAGTCTGTATGAATGAAAATATTTCAAATTTGGCTTTTTTTCAGCGACATTTCAGTTTTATACAAAACTTGAGTCTGGTTTAGTTGAACCAATTTCATCAGTACGAGAAACCTGGAGGATGTGAGAAGCTGAAACTCAGAACCACAACACATCAATATACGCTAAATGCACCAAAACAGATTTAGCTAAAACTCCACATACAGACTGCTTGAACAACCTAAAGTCATGTGAGGAGACCAGAGGGGTGAGTGACGGGCGTCTCCTGGAGAAGGACGACGTCGTGCTGCTTATCTATAAGATGTCTGATGTAAAGGAAACAAAGAACCACTGAAATATGAAGAAATGTCCTGAACCTGTTTTGCAGCAACAGAGGTTTTATTATTGTGAATGGTTTTTCCAACAGGGTCAAACATCAAGGTCAGAATTTTTTTTTCCTATTTTTTTTTATTTTTACATTTACAATAATAGATCTGTTAACAAAAAGTGCCGACAGTTGTGTGTGAGAGTTTGGCTCTGATCAGAGAAAGAAAAGACCGGTAGCTAAACCATCACCACGTATTAAATGGCTGTAAAAATGTTTGTGAGCTAGCGTCTTAATGCAGGAGCTCCCAGTTTAGCTTTTCCAGATACAGGTTAAGAAATTGCTCCACCTGTGGTTACGTAAAGTCCCAGCTGAGACGCGGTGGGGGTTGTCTAAGTATCAGACCTGACTCCTAACCGTCGGGGTTGCTTTGTTGAGACGTTGCTAAGTGCTAACAGGCTGAATAAGAACATTTAAAAAAGTAGCCCCACTCTCTCTACATCACACCAATTAATCTGTCAGCCGCTCCCATGTTTGAGCTGCACACAGTGGAATAATTTGTTGAAAAGCGTTGTGGGTTCTCGAGATGGTTTCACCACGTATCGGAGCTCCCCTCCTCTCTCTCTCTCTCCACTCCGCTTCGGTCTTTTTCCCCCTCTACGGCTGTGGTGAAGCTCCAAACTTGGAGCTCAGCTTGGTGACGAGGGCCATGATTTTGGGGTTGTTCTGGTACTTGGAGATGTTGGCCGGGTTCTGCGCCACATCCTGGAAGGCGGCCATCACCTCGGGGTCCTGGAGTTTGATACGGAAGGGAAACAGGGTCACCTTTATTCACACAAGTGCATTTCCAAATCAGCTTTAAAAAAGGCTCACTATGAGTTTAAGGGACAGTTAAAAGAGCGCCATCAAAGTTCATGATGTAAAACAATAACGACGACGTGACAGAAACATGAAATTCATATTTGTTTTATGTGTTGAGAAACGCTCCAGTCTCTTCAGTGTTTTCGTTGCTTCACTGGATGTTTAAGTTCTTCATGTACATCAGGATTTATTCACAAAGTCTGTTTCTGTTGCACATTTTGTTATTTTTGGTATTTTTTTCCAGCACAAACTGAAAAATGTGCAGAAAAACGTGGATTGAAACACACCTGATCAACCCACACCCACCTGAACAAGCAGATCAGCTGTGTGTTTAACTCTTCATACTGAGGAGTTTGTTTTCTGAGCTCTCACTTTGATTGTTGCTCATTAAAGTCACGAGGATTAAAGATTAGATTTCAGGAGCTTTTAGTGTTTTTAAATTCACATAAGTCCAGTCCATACGACTGCTGCTCCCGTCAGATAAAACCCTCAGCTCGCTCGCATGACTGACGTCCCTGTTCATCGGGTCGACTGGCAGCGATTTAAAAAGATTCCTGAGTCTCAGTTTAGGAAAGAAAAAGTGGAGCTTAATGAGTTTGTCTCTAATGACACTGGTTGTTCTGTGTAGACAGGATCTTACCCCCCCCCATCCCCCATCCCTTCATCTTTTTAATCTCTTTCAATGAACATCTAAGTCCGTCTCTGTGCTGCACTCTAACACACACGATCCGGTGTTTGGTATTAAAACAACATCAACATCCTCCTCCCCCTGTGCAAGTGGGGATGATGACTCTGTATCTGCTCACTTCTGAACTCTCAATAACCCCCCCCCCCCGATCTGTGCAGCCTAAGATGCGGGTCATGGCCGTGGAAGTGGTGGGATGTTAATGAGTCACCTTCATGGCGTTGAGCAGCTCGGGGTCCTTCAGGAGGTCACCGAGACCTGGCATGCCAGCAGGGGCTCCGCCTGGGAATCCAGCAGGACCTGCACCACCACAACGAGACTCATTAACTTAGTTACTAAAGTACGTGACTAATTCTTTTGCCAAAGGCCTTTTATTATTTTGGGGTGTACATCTCATCCCCAAAACCGACTTGGTTCCCCTCTCCTACCTGGGAAGAATCCTCCTCCAAACTGCCGTGCTTCCTCGTCCTGCTGAGACAAAAAAACGGGACACGTTTCAGGAGGCGTTAAAGAGTTGTTTAAATCGTAGGAATCTGTAGAACGAGTTTCATACTACATTGTTTTGTAGGGTTAAAGTTTTCAACCTCGAGGTTGTACGTCTCCGCCAACTAGTCAAGTTACAGGGAATACGATCACAATCTCCCCCTTCTTGTTCCTGAGTTACAGCGTTAAATAATGACCAGAAGTGTTTTTGCAGAACATTATGATGTCACGGTGAAGTTGACCTTTCACCTTTTGGATATAAAATGTCTTCACTCCATCATTTTATCTTGTTTGTTTTAAACTGTGTCATAATTAGCGTACGAATTTGACCTGTGAGTGCAGGTGAACGTTTGTGTTAACAGCTGACTTTTCCAGCAGAGTAGTTCAACTTTAAAGGGCCACTTATTGTGTTTTTCTGAAACAGGAAGTCCCGTCAGCAGCTCACCCTCTGAGCCCGCGCGTGCTCCTCTCTCGCTTTCTTTACCCGCTCCTGTTTCTCCTTGATCTCCTTCTCTTCTCTCTTGCGCTCGTATTTGCGTCTGTGCTCCATGATTTTGTTCGCCTGAAAAGAGAGGGAGAAATGACGAGTGTGACAGCAGCATCTTTTATTATCTGTCATTACAGGTTTCTGAAGACCTGCTCTGATCATCAAATATTAAAAATAACCACATTACAGTTACTATAAACTAATTTAAAACAGGGTGTAAAGTGTTTTTTTATTCCCTCTTTTCTCTGGTACTTTACCTTAGGCTGGACCTCCTTCAGCATCGCACTGGCGTCTTCATCATAGTCCAGTTTACAGGCTGTGGCCAGGTCCTTGGCTGCATCCTCCCAGTGTCCCAGCAGCCTGCAGCAACACACACACACACACGATAATGTGCAGAATACAGCACTGTCAGATCACCAAGCAGATGGCAAATGCAGCATTGAAGGCTGTGTGGTTAAACTCCTCCGTCCTCAAACATACTTCATGTCAAGCAGAAGGCGCTTTGAGATAACGACAATCTTGCAGGTTCGTTCCAGGTCAAACAGCGAGATCGGACTAATAAATAAATCTGGGTTACAGTCTGATATCGATGTGTCAGACTGTGACATCAGTTTTGAGGCACGTCAGATGGTGCGATCAAAGCCTGGTGAATCATGGTGCTACAAAGTAAAAGCACAGACACTAAATCCATCTGTGCTATCGAACTATTTAGATTCTTTTCGTAACTTTTTCATCATACAATTTTTAACCAAAATTGAGAAAATTCGCAAAGAAAAATGCGAATTAATCCTCTGCCGTTATGTGAACACTAGGAGGTGGTTTGTGGAGATAAACAGGTGGTGGCCGCTGTTAAACCACTGCAGAAGAAGAGCGATCATCTGGTCAAACCTCACACGGTGAGGTAATGTGGCATCTCTATTAAATGTCAGTTGCTAAACAGGTTGAGGAGTGTTGTACCTTAGCGTGTTTACACTGAGGGTTTGGTTATGTCGCTCGTGTGTGTGTGTGTGTGGGTGTGTGTGTGGGTGTGACCTCTTTGCCAGGTGTTAACCTTACACACTGCGCTGCGGTAGACTCTTTGAACAGAGACGTACCTGTGAGCCTTTCCCCTCCACTTGTACGGCTGTGCAGAGTCTGGGTTGATGCTGATGGCTCTGTCACAGTCTCTTATGGCTGCGTTGGGTTTCTGCATCTGGATGTAGACACTAACACAAAGAGGACAACTGATAAAACAACAAGTCTTTAAATGTCACTTATTATTATTTTAAGGAATCGAACGGCGGCACTTTAACGCTCTGTGATGAATAACCTGAAAGAAATCTCTCACCTTGCCCTCTTGGCGTACAGGATGGCTACGCAGGGGTTCAGCTTAATGGCTTCAGTGAAGAGACCCATAGCTTTCTGCAGATCACCTATAGAAAATGTGAGAATGTGAAAATGTGAGATCATGAATCTAATTCAAATCTTTCTCTAACTGAACTGTGTCAACCTGCCTTCTCCCAGAGCATTAATGGCCTCCATCTTCTTCTCATTGGCCAGGTCCATCATCTCCTCTGTGACCTGAGGAAGAGCACGGACACAGATGTTCAAACAAATCCTGTTTTCTTTTCTCTCTCAAAGGTCTTTCTATTGAATTACAGTAAAGTAGAAGACAGTAGTCGTACATGGAAAACAAAAACAACAAGCTCAGACAAGAAGAAACACACACACAACCACCTGACCTCCTAAACTATGGATAAACAAAGTTAAAATTATAGACAACGATGCAAAGATGCTAACACAAGAAGGTTTAGTCAGGAAAAACAAATCCTCTTTTAATGGCTGAAATCTCTCCTATTTTCCCGGCCTGGAATCTCTATAACCTCCTAAGACCCGAACTCTTGCATGGCGTGCATTTTTAATTTCTCTTTGCTATTTAGGCTGATTGGGACCTGATGAGTGTAACAACAAAGAATTATGTTTTTACATGATGTAGTTTCTGAGAAAAATGATGTCCACATATGAGGACATTCGTCTTCAATTTAGATAGAAACCAATAAAGTCACAGTTGAGTAATTATGTAAAACTATTTATTTGGTGCCAGAACACAGCAGCATTTTCCTTTACTTAAGAGATTCCAGGCCGTGAAAATAGGAAGAATTTCAGCCATTAAAAGAGGATTTGTTTTTCCTGACTAAACCTTCTTGTGTTAGCATCTTTGCATCGTTGTCTATAATTTTAAACTTTGTTTATCCATAGTTTAGGAGGTCAGGTGGTTGTGTGTGTGTTTCTTCTTGTCTGAGCTTGTTTTGTTTTTCCATGTACGACTACTGTCTTCTACTTTACTGTAATTCAATAGAAAGACCTTTGAGAGAGAAAAGAAAACAGGATTTGTTTGAACATCTGTGTCGTGCTCTTCCTCAGGTCACAGAGGAGATGATGGACCTGGCCAATGAGAAGAAGATGGGAGGCCATTAATGCTCTGGAGAAGGCAAGGTTGAC